AAGCAGAGGTACCACTGCAAGTGTCCTTGCGGTTGTGTGTAGATATTTCTGTACGTTCCTCCGCGCAGACCCACTGCACCTTGATGTTCAACCATGTCAGTAGTCCACCAGATTCTGCCGTGGATGGTGAGGAGTAGAGCAAAAGCTGACCACCATAGCCCAGCTCCGCTACCAAGCTTGAAGGGAGCTGGGAGGCCCAACCATCAGCTTCGCCTAAGGCGAGGCCCAACTCCAATTCTGTTGTACCGTAGTAACGATAGTCCCAGAAGTAGGAGGTCGTCGCGGGGGCGACGGGCCATCTCAACCGAATACGTTTTCGGCCTCGATGGCAAGTAGTGTGCCTCGCGATGAGGCACAGTCATGTGTTGGCGGCCAGCCGTTTCAACACAACCAGCCGCGGACAGACGCTCGCAACCTTCCGCCCTTGTCCCAGCTCGCTTTAGAGTTACCCAGGCTCGGTTTTTCGGGTGAGGTGACCAGGTGGCGACATCCGAACCCCACCCCCGCCAACCATCGATTCTCCTGAATCGAGGCGGCGGTGGGGTTCGGATTTCACCACGTGATCGACAAATCCCGCCAGCCCCCGGGGGCGTGAGTGGTTAAGAGAATTCCTCTTCCAACCCCCCTTCTTGCCCTTCGCGGAGGGGTCCACCCCTCCCCCTCCCTCTGGACCTGGACGGTGCGTTTCGCGAGGGTTTGGAGTTTCTAAGATGTTCTCGGCGGGAAGGCCAACATCGTTGATCTGACAGGAAAGTGTTGGCCCAATGTTGGTCACCTGGGAGAGGGGCGCTGATTGAGTGCCCCTCTATTCTTTGATCGATCGCCTCCAGGATGGCCCCAAAATGCCCTCCGAAGCTCCCAATAATGCCCCAAGAGGCGCCCAGTAGGCCCCAAGAGGCCACCAAGAAACTGGTCTTGTTGCTCGCCCTCTCCTCCTCCTCCTCCTCCTCCTCCTCCTCCTCCTCCTCCTCCTTCTTCTCTGTGCTCCACTGCGTGTTCCCGCACATGCCTGATCGGGGCAACTCGCCAAAGCATCATTTCTGGACGGGCTGCTGGGGCTACTTTTTTGGCTTGCGACCGCGAGCGGACACCCGCGCGGCGTCATAAAGTCGTGCGGAAAGGGAAGGGGCCGCTACGCCGAGCGGGTTGCACGGCACCGCGGGCGAAGCAGGAAAAGCCGAAACGACGAAGAAAGCGAAGAGCAAGAGAGAGCGACAGCGAGGGAGAGAGAAACCGAAAGGAACGGGAATCATAAAAGCACAAGCCACAACTCAGAGGTGGAACAAGTAGGTGATCACCCTGACCTTACTGTACTCCGTGTGCGTGCTGTAAGTAGGCGACAGATGAACTCAAAATCTATCCAGACGGCTGGTGGGGCTACGCGAAGCGTCTAGAATGCCGAACCGACCCCTCTACCCCCACCGCCCATCGATTTGCCCGAGTCGTTGATCGGCGCGGGTCGAGTTCGGATCTCGCCGCCGAATCCCGGCGATGGACAAGCCTCGCCCGAACTCTGTTCCTCTGGCGAGGTGATGACACCGTCGCGGTGGCCCGACCGGGACGCGAACAGCCATGTTGAAACGCACCCGACATTGTTGATGGGACAATGTACCACCACTACAAATGGTAGGAGAGGGAAGAGAAGGAGGAGGAGGCGGAGGAAGAAGAGGAGAGGAAAAGAACCTCCCCGTCCTCCCTCCTCCCCCGTCCTACATATGGTAGTGGTGGTGGAAGATTTGCCCATCCATAGTGGACGGCAAGCAAGCGGAAGCCCGCAAACTGCCGTGAATGGTTGTTTTTCCCAACCATCCTGTGGTGTTGGGTCCTCGTTTTGAAAAAACGGTCCCCGCGTTCCTCCTCCTCCTCCTCCTCCTCCTCCTCCTCCTCCTCCTCCTCCTCCTCCTCCTCCTCCTCCTCCTCCTCCTCCTCATCCTCCTCCTCATCCTCCTCGCCCTCCTCCCTCCAGGGTTCGCATGCCTCCCCACCACCCATTTCGGCACACCCCTCACACGTTTCGTGGCCCCATAGGGAGCTCCACCGAAGGCCCCAGTGGCTGGTTCGCATGCCTCCCCACCACCCATTTCGGCACACCCCTCACACGTTTCGTGGCCCCATAGGGAGCTCCACCGAAGGCCCCAGTGGCAGGGTTCGCATGCCTCCCCACCACCCATTTCGGCACACCCCTCACACGTTTCGTGGCCCCATAGGGAGCTCCACCGAAGGCCCCAGTGGCAGGGTCGCATGCCTCCCCACCACCCATTTCGGCACACCCCTCACACGTTTCGTGGCCCCATAGGGAGCTCCACCGAAGGCCCCAGTGGCATGGGTTCGCATGCCTCCCCACCACCCATTTCGGCACACCCCTCACACGTTTCGTGGCCCCATAGGGAGCTCCACCGAAGGCCCCAGTGGCAGGGTTCGCATGCCTCCCCACCACCCATTTCGGCACACCCCTCACACGTTTCGTGGCCCCATAGGGAGCTCCACCGAAGGCCCCAGTGGCGTTCGCATGCCTCCCCACCACCCATTTCGGCACACCCCTCACACGTTTCGTGGCCCCATAGGGAGCTCCACCGAAGGCCCCAGTGGCAGGGTCGCATGCCTCCCCACCACCCATTTCGGCACACCCCTCACACGTTTCGTGGCCCCATAGGGAGCTCCACCGAAGGCCCCAGTGGCAGGGTTCGCATGTTCGGCACATCACAGGCCCCCCACCGAAGGCCCCAGTGGCAGGGTTCGCATGCCTCCCCACCCCATTTCGGCACACCCCTCACACGTTTCGTGGCCCCATAGGGAGCTCCACCGAAGGCCCCAGTGGCAGGGTTCGCATGGCACACCCCTCACAATAGGGAGCTCCACCGAAGGCCCCAGTGGCAGGGTTCGCATGCCTCCCCACCACCCATTTCGGCACACCCCTCACACGTTTCGTGGCCCCATAGGGAGCTCCACCGAAGGCCCCAGTGGCAGGGTTCGCATGCCTCCCCACCACCCATTTCGGCACACCCCTCACACGTTTCGTGGCCCCATAGGGAGCTCCACCGAAGGCCCCAGTGGCAGGGTCCGCATGCCTCCCCACCACCCATTTCGGCACACCCCTCACACCGTTCCACCACGTTTCGTCGGCCCCATAGGGAGCTCCACCGAAGGCCCCAGTGGCGCGGTGCCTATGAGAAGAGGGGCCTAGTTTGCGTGCCCCCTCCTTCGTCTCATATCCGTGCGGTACTCGCAGCTGCATATGGTTGGGTCCTTCGCCAGGCTAATTTGTCTGTTCTGCTGTTCCTGAAGCTGGCGGCACCAACCAGGCACACAACATGATCTAGCAGAGAAGCGCCTGAACGACCGTTCGGCGACGTGCTCTTCGAACACGTTGGCAATCGCGGCCGGCGCCCCTGCAATCAAACTCTCGCCAACATGGTATCATCACGGATCCCACTCACACCAAAGAAACAACAGAAAACCGCCGTGCACGAAGTACATTGCACCTATCAGCTCTTACCCAGACGTCCGATGACGTCGTTTTGTTAACCTCCGCGGCCCAGGACCGCCCGACTGGCTCCGCGCGGACACTCGTCCGCCCTGGCTCACTCTGGATGGCCCCAGGGCCCGAAAAACGGGACCCGGTCGGTGAAACATCGAGGAACAGAAGCCGGGGCCGAGAATCACATCGTCGGGATGTCTGGGCAAAGTGGTGGGGCTCGGCCGATGAAGAAGCCGGCCTGCCAGCAGGTGCCCCACGGCAGCTCCCCGTCCCCCGAGGGCCCCGGGGGCCCACGGGAGGCCCTGGGGCACCCGAGGAAGGTCAGAGCTCGAGGACAAACGTGTTCCCAGGTTTCTCCCGGCATGTGTTCTCCCCCCTTACAGTTGGAAGCGGCACAGAAAGATTGGCACGGCCCCTGCGCAAGGATGACACGCACAAATCGAGAGGGGCAAACAACTTTTGATATATGCCCACGCGCTCCATGGCGTTAGGAGGCAACTATTGGGAGGTTTTCGGCGGAAATATTAAAAAGGATTGAGCCCCATTTGGGAGCTGTTACGCCAGAGTGGGCCTCGGACTAAGCAGAATTAAGCTGGATGAAACAGGATTAGCCGGGATTGAGCCGGATTAAGCGGGATCAAGCTGGATCAAGTCGGATTTCGGACCAGGGCAAAATCAGAATTTGACCTCCCAGGAGTTGCATCCGAAATGGCGTACGGCTGTTCGTTCGTTCGCTCATGACTTCTTCTCGCATGGCCACGGCAAGCCCCGTGCCTCGGGCCGCGGCCAAGAGGAGGGGGGCAGGGACAGAGAGGGTGTGCGCAACGCAACGGGGCCCGAGGCAGGTGTGCGGTCGAGGGGGGGAGAAGGGAACGCGCTGAACGAATAAGAAGACGAAACATAACGATGATAGTCAGAGCAGTCGTAGTAATGATAACAACATACGAACAATACAAATATTAGTAATAACACTAATGATACTACGAATAAGAATACGGATAAAAAAAAATAAGAAGACGACTCATAAGAATGTGAAAAAAAAGAAGATGAATAATGCTAGTAATACTGAGAAGAAAAATAGGCAGGATAATAATGCTAAGAAGAAGAAGAAGATAAGCCATCATATCTGGGAGACAGAGCAGCTCTGGCCAGGATATCCAAACACGCACAGGCCACCACCACCCCTCGACGCCTGCTGCCGTTCGAGCCATGACTCTGGCCTGGGGCGGCCGTTCGGGACGATGCGGGCACCCAAAGAGAGCTCTCGGCGAGGCGCAAATGCTGGAGACCATCCCGAGGCGAGCAAGCGAAACCTCAAAGAACCACTGGAAACTCACCCCCTCCCCTCCCTCCTTCGACGGCGATGTGCCCCTCCCGCCCCTTTCCAGTCCCCACCTCCCCCCCTCTTGGAGGCATCTATAGAATCCAGCAAATTATCGTTCTGTGAAAGAGGGGGGGGGGGGGGGGGGCGTGGCGAGGCCTGAAAGGAAATCAGGACTCCACGCAAGTCGGCACGCTTTTTCGGCCCAGAGCTGTCTGAAAAGGCGGAGAAGGGGGGGGGAGGGGGGCAAGTGCCATGAAAGCGAGCTTGCCTGAAACTAATTGAACGCCTCCTCTTCTCCGGCTGGCGGTCGGAATTGGGCTCCTTGCATGGGAGTGACCATGCTCCATGCTGCCCGCTCCAGAGCCGCTTCGCCGCCGGACCCCAGCGTCGCACAAGCGAGGGCTGCTGCACATTTTCGGTGCAGCGCCATGTGCTCTGCTCACCTTGTGCACCGCTCGCCTGTACATAGGACGTTGAAATCTTGCATGGCGCGCCCGCCCACTCCACAAACAAGCTGCGAGCCAGACGCACAACACGACAGAAGGGGGCACTGCCTCTGCCAAGCCAGGCGAGCATGCCGCTTAGCAGCACCACAGCGCCAGCATCTCGGAAATCCGCCGACCCATCGGGCACCTAGGGGAGGTCTGCTCCTTCTCCCCTCCCCTCCCCTCCCCTCCCGTGCCCATTTGGCCACTGTTGTGTGTGGGTGGGGGGGGGCGGGCGACTTAAGTGCCAAGACAACCCAACAACCACAGACCACAGCACACAAGAGGAAACACCAACCACGGAACTACACTATCCTGGGGGATGGATTGAAAATTCATGTGCTGAAGTGCACTATAGTACAACCCGGGAAAGGCCGCTCCCCACTGGCAGCGGTCGCCGACGAAGTCACTCACCGGGGTCGTCGTCCGCAAGTCGAAGTTCCTGCTCTGCTGCCCCCCAAAGAAGCCTGCAAGAAGGCGCAACCGGCCCTGACGAGCTCCAAAAGGCCCCCCAACACTTTCCGAAAGAAGCCGGCCAGCATCCGAGGCTGTGACCACGTCGCGGCGTGATGAAAAAGACACGATCCGATCCCACAAGCACGGCGTTGCGCAGCACTCCTCGAGCCCATTCGGCTGGTCAGGGCCCTGGACGCCCTGAGGGCCGGTCGGCAAAACGCCCGTCGTGGCTTGTTTGTTTGCGCTCGCCCCCCTACTCTGACGCGGAGGCGCGGGCTCCGTGAGAACCCTGGGCGACGTGTCGAGCGCGGGGGGGAAAGGAGAAGGAGGGGGAGGAGGAGTAGTGTAAACCCAAGACGGGACGCATCAACGAGGTTGCAATAAACCCTCCCTTCAAGTTCCCTCTTCGCGAATCACTAACTAACATAATATATGGTTCACTGTGGCTGAGAGTCGCCATTCGTGCCAAAACACACTTACTGTGATTTCAACTCCTCGAATCGGCCTGATTGTTGCGTCCGGACAAGGCTACATCGCACCAGGACGCCATTCCTGGGGCTTCAACACCGCGAACCAGTGTGACTATTGCACCCTGGCTATCCTAAATCCTGCCAGGACGACTTTCTGTGAACGTCAACCATACTAGGCCAGGAAACTGTTGCAACGTTTGGGTTCAAACAAATGTTCGCGGCGCCAATGCGAGGGCTACGTGTTGGAAAGGAACCTCCATCCTTGAAGCTGCTGCAAACAGTTACGACCAGTGTGCGCGGCGAGAAAGCGAGAGCCATATCTTGTCAACGGCCCGCCCTGCACCCCTGAAACTGTTGCACACGTCGCAGACGAATGCGTGCGGCGCCAAAGAGAGCGAGAGAGAGAAAGAGAGACACATGTTCTGAGAACGGTCTGCCCTCCGTCCTTGAAGCTGTTGCAAATGTGAAGCTTCAGGCGAAATGCCGGGCCCGCCAGGCCGACACGTCCGGGGGTGTGACAGCGAGCTGTGTACTGATGACTGAGAAGCCCTCGCGGCTCTTCCTCTTCTCCTCTGCTGTCCTCTTGCCGTTCTTGTTTCAGGTATCTGCTGCGGCAGGCTCAGCATTTACTACTCAGGCCATCTCATCGTCTAAGTCGGTGCTAACTTCGTCTCAGTGGCCATTGTATTGACGCTACGGTCCAGCCAACCAGAGCCTGCGCAACGTGAAAAGGCGGATAACGAAGAGGAATAGGACCAGGAGGAGGGGGAGCACGAGGAGGAGGAGGAGGCGGAGGAGAACCACGAAAACGAGAGGGGAGGAAGAAGAGAGGAGGCTCAGAGAGGGGAGGAGGCGGCCGACCTTCATCCGTCCGCCGCTCGGTCGATCCCTGCCCTTCTCCGCCCACCCAGCTCGGTTCCCCCCCACCCCAACCTGTCTGGCTTTTGGTCGGGGTGGAGAGAAGAGAGCGCCGGCCAAAAGCCAGGGCAGGGTAAATCAATGGGCATTCGAGTGTCCCAATCTGCGGCGAATGTACAAGAATTATGCGATACGTGGAAACCCTGGCTTGAAACAACCAATTCAGACGTCATCGAGTTTTTTCTCTCTCTCTCTCTCTCTCTGTGTCTTCTTCAATCACTTACACTTTCTGTGCATCACGTGTATGTGTGTGTGCGTGCGTGCGTGTGTGTGTGTGTGTGCGTGTGTGTGTGCGTGTGTGTGCAAGCCCACATGTCACGTGCCCAAATGTTGCACTGAACCATCAGAAACGCATCAACACGATCACGTTGGAAGCTGGACCTTCATAGCCAGCACGGGACCTGGCGTTCTGGTTTCCTGCGTTTCAAAAGGTCCTTCACAGCACTGGTCAAAGGTACAATGTAAGCCATTCATGGTCCTTGCTTCGGGTCATCATAGCTGACCAACATGGATAAGAGAGAGAGGGATACACACATTGGGCGACCGAGATACAAGATAGGTGCACGCTGAGAGAGAGAGATAGAGAGAGAGAGAGAGAAACGAAACGCTCGCAAACGTCGGTCCGTGAACGAGGGACGTGCGTTCACCAGTGTGTACCACCCGATTGCTTGAAACACATTCCGCAGATACCCAGGTGTGTAAACGCCGCAGGCAGATCCATACGCCCAACGCACAACACTACAGCGAGGGACTGATATGTCGAGCGCTCCTTATGCACAGTTTGCCAGCCAGCGCGTTTAGTCGAACCAAGCCAGCACTTCGAATTCGGGAAAAACGCGAGCCCAGCCCTGCAGTGGGGTCCGCTGTTCAGAAGCACGCTTGTCTACTGCGGCCGCTTCGCAACAACTGGAACAGAGCAGGGCAGAAAGAAGGGAAGAGGGCCAGAGGGAGGAGAGACTGTGAAAGAGTGATAGGGCAGACGTGGGACATGGATGTCTCGCCCCCTTCCCGAGGACCGAATTTGCTTTCCATCCTGAGTAGTTGTTTTTCGATCACGGGGCCCTGCACGAGCACGCAGAGGCCAAAAGTTGACAAGAGCGGTACTTTTTTTTTAGGTCTGGGCCCAGAAGTCGAACATCGACCTTCAGATCTTTCCCGGGGTGCGTCCTGGCCATGACTTCGAGGCGGCTCCGGCAGTGGCGACGAAGAGCCACCCCGGAGGTGCGATCAAGGCGGACAGGCGTCCAAACACCTCAAAGCCCGAAGCTCGAACGACGGGAACGAGCACGTCGGACCGAACAATCGAGCTTGGCGTCGGGGGCCGCTTGTACGTACGCAAGAGTGCAACCCTGGGCAAGAGTGACTGTGAGGTACCCGGCTTGCCGATCGCTGCCTGCCATGCGGCAGCAGCAACACCAACTTGCTCGCCTGGGCCTGGCCCCGCGCGCCTTCTGGAAGCCGGGCACCATGGATCGCTCCAGCGAAGCCCCAGCGCCGATCCAAGCAGTCTGGGGAAAGCCTCCGAAAGTCCATGCTTATGCCATTGGGGCGACGGGAAAAAGGAACTTACGCGAGAAGGTATAGCGATCTTACGCGTTAGTTTACGCGGGCCGCCAGCGCGGCATGCCACATCGGAGACGAGGGCGCTTACGCGAGACCTTACGAGGGCAGCTTACGCGCCAATGTCGGCGCAAACGACCCCGTTTTCTTCCGTCGCTCATGTGCTCTTCCTTCAAGGTAGATCCCAAACCCGGGTCAGTGGAGGAACGGGAAAAGGGTGTCGGCTCCGCGATGGCTCCCAAACCTGGGCCAGCCCGTGGGGATCAGCTGACTCTCGTTAGCGCTGACCCTTTCCTGAGATCCGACGTCACGACAAAGTGCAGCATCGTGAAAGATCACATCCCGAGTCCTCGATCCCATGTTTCTGAGGCACCTCTGGAGCTGGATCGTTCCGTCAGGGCCCCAGGGCCCGAAAATGGGCGAGGCCCCCAGATAGAGAAAAACGCAACGCTCCGATCTCAGGGCTGCTTCGTGCGCGCCCCGCAGATGCACCAACGTTCCAGTCACTCCGGCAGAGGGTCGCCCTTGCGCGCAATCAATACGACATCTGACACCTCGGCCTGTTCGAACGGGCTCACCTGAATCCCCGACCCTTTCCACGGAGCTGGACCTTCGCTACGACCGGTCTCATGACGGCCCCTGGAGCCCAGCGAGGGCCCCCGGAGGCCGAAAGCGACGAAAACACCGCGCCCTGATGTTCATGACGTTGGCGGATGTCTGGGAGCTTGGGAGCTGCACCTCGCTCGATCCCTGGACCTCTCCTGGCGTGCGTCCTGGCCAGGACGTCAGAGCGAACCCGGCCGTGGCGACGAGAAGGCCCACAGTCGTGTCGGACGCAGGGAGGGGGCAGTAAAGGGAGGGGGCTTCGCGAATCAGCTCACGCAGTTGATTCTCACAACGTCTCCAGGCGCTGGAGGCGCTGATGCATAGAAAGGAAGAGAATCCGGCGGCAGGGCCGAAACCAGACGCATGCAGAAGATTTCGCAGCCCTTCCTCCCCCTATCATCCCCTCCCTTCCGACCCGACACCCTGTCCCCCCTTTCGTCCGACCCGGCAGGAAGGACGGAAACGCTCCCAAGCCTCGACCCTCGATCCTCGAGTCCTTTTCGTCCGACCCGACAACCGGTTCCCTCCCTAGCCGTCCAGAAAAGGCCAGAAAAGCTCCCGAGCCTTCACCCTCGATCTTCGAGCCTCGTGCCTTCACCCTCGAACCTCGAGCCTCCACCCCGAAACCTCGATCGACCCTCGACCCTCGACCCTCGATTCGTGAGCCCCCGCCCCGAAACCTCGATCACCTCGACCGACCCCCGACCCTCGTTCCTCCACCATCCATCCTCGAGCATGCACCCCCCGATCCTCGATGTCCTGCTAGGGTCCTGCGAGGGTCCTGTCAGTGTCCTGCTGGGGTCCTGCCAGGATCCTGCTAGGGCCCTGCCAGGGTACTGCTCGGGTGCTTCCAGGTAGGGTCCCTCTGCGAGGGTCTGGAAGGGCCCTGCTGGGGTCCTGCCAGGGTGGACCTCGACCCTCGCCCGCCTTCCTCCGCCCCCTCGAGCCTCGGGCCTCCCCCTCCTGGAGCCCCCAGCCATGGGCGTGCCGAGCCCCGCGGCGCGGCGCCGCCCCCCCCTCCGGAGGGGGCAACGATAGGGGGGGGGACCGGCACATGGGGGGGGGGGGGGGGGCACATCGACCTGAGATCAGCGATACATCGCCGACAGATTGGCGAGAGGGCCCCAATCGTGAGTCCGCGCGTCCCTGGGCAGGCTGGGGCTACTGGGCCCCTGTCGGCGATCTCATCGTGGCCCCTGGCCCCCTTTCGTCCGACCCCTCGTCGTCTGGCTTTCAGCTCGTGGCCCAGGTCTCCAGTGCCCGTTTGGGGCGCTCCAGGCACCCCCCGAACGCTCTCGGCGAGGCGCAGCTGTTGGAGAGCATGCCGAGGATGGGAAACCACCGAGAAACAAAGAAAACGCTCGAACACCTCAAACCTCGAGCCCCTTTTTCGTCCGACCCGATCCTGCGCAGAATGGACAGGGACCACTGTCTGGAGCGCGTTTTTGTATTTTCGGCGATAATGGGCGTTACAGGGGGGGTGGGGTGGCGGGGGGGGGTATAACATAACGCCCCCCCCGCCGTGAGGCTCCAGCACCACAGAAGCCTGTTTTTCATTTTCCGGGATAGCGGCCGTCATCGGCCCCGCCCTCCCGCCCCCCAGATGACGTCACGTTCCACGCCCGCGGTGTCCAGGGATGGCTGCGGATGACCAAGGCCACGTAGGAGCAGCATGTAGGTGGCGATCTGCCCCACAACGCCAATGCACACCACAATGCTCGCGTACACCACAGCGCGCGTGCACACCACAACGCCTGCGTACACCGCAACTGTCCAGCCGTCTGCAATGCAGCGCCCGTGTACACCACGGTGCTTGCGTGCACCACAGCGCCGGTGTACACCACAGCGAACACAGCGCCTGTGTACACCACAGTGCTTGCGTCCACCGCAGCGCCTGTGCACACCACAGCGCCTGTCTACAGCACAGCATCCGCGTGCACCGCAGCGCTGGTGTACACCACAGCGCCTGCTTGCACAAGACAAGTAGAAGGAGCATGTCAGTGAGGATCTGCTGCGAACAGCTAAACACCACGCCAGGGAATTGCGGATAATAGAATGGTGCGTTTGTCCCTCCTCCCTCCTCCTCCTCCACCTCCATATCCACCTCCTCCTCCTCCTCCTCCTCCTCCTCCTCCTCCTCATTTTACCCCCTTGTCGTGCGGGTCGGCGCTACAGCGCACGTGTGCATCTCAGCGCGCATCGCAGAATGGTGTATTGAATCAATTGAATCAGTCCAACTGGTTCTCGGATGGCCAATTCTGTTGGAGCCTCCTGGACGCATATGGGAGGAATTAGGATGATGCGGGAGGACTCAAACCTGCAAGAACCAACGAAAACTTGCGAAAACCTCCTATCTCCCCCTATCGTTGCCCCGGACCTCCAGGGGGGGAGAGAGCGCCAAGTGCTGCTCACGCCGGGCAGTACGCTGGAAGGCTTCTCCGAAGGCCAGAGGGCTTCTGAGAAGCCCCGCAGCCTTCTCACTTCCCCCCCTCGCTCGCCGCCGAGGAGGGGGGACAGAGCGCCGGGGGCGCTCACGCCGGGCAGTACGCGGGCAGCACGCTCCTGCCGAGCGGGGGGTGGTGGCGGCGCGCCGCACGGCTTGGTTCGGGGCGGGATCGGGGGGGTGCGGTTCGAGGGAGGGGGGCCCTGGCCAGGCCAGGGACGAGGAGGGGGAGGAGGAGGACCGCTCCTACGGAAGGGAGTAGGAGAAGAAGGAGGAGGAGGCGGAGGAGGAGGCGGCGGCAGCGGCAGCGTGCGGAGCACTCTCATGCCATCAGGAAACAAGAAACAGGAGGAGGAGGAGGAGGAGGAGGAGGAGGAGGAGCCAGAGGAGGAGGCAGAAGAGGAGGAAAAAGAGGAGGACAAGCGCGGCGCCTGGCAGCTCTCCCCGAGAAGGGGGTGCGCGCCAGGGCTCGCGCCGGGCCCCCCTCCCTCGAAACGGTGCGGCGACAGGCCGTGCGGCGACCTCGAAACCCAGGAGACCTCACATCGCACGGTCCGTCAGCGTACCGTTTCGGGACCCCGGAGGCCCCAGCCACCCGAGACGTGCGGAGGGAACGCCCGGAATCGGCCACCCCGACCGCCCCGGTGTGGTCACCGCACCCGCTTGGAGCCGCCGAAGCACGCCAAGTGCTGTCGAGCGGGGGGGGCCCGGAGCCGGCGGGCCCCCCCCCGTCGCCTGCAAGCGGAGCGAGCTGCTAAGATCCACCAGCCCCGCGGGGGGCTGCGAGGCCAGAACTTCTGCGCCCTGCAGCCAGACCTCAGCTCCTCGACTCGAGTGCCAATTGCGATGCAGCCGCTGCTGTTCTCCAAGGTGTCGGATGTTACAGGTCGTTGTTCCTGGCTCCGATGTTGGAAATTTGCACTACGCGCGACCCTCCAAGGCCCCAACAGAACCCATTACTCCGAATTTAATGATACAAGGGGGGGTGGCCTGATTTTGGGGGGGTCTGATCTGCGCTGTCGTGGAGGGTTCCGCGGGGTCTGGGCAAAGGGCTGCCCTTTCATAGCTGGTCTGGGGGGGATCTAAAACTGCTCGTCTGGGAGGGGTAAGACCTTCCTTCTCGTATTCCGAACATTGGATTACCTTATCGAGACAACGTCCTCGAGAAGTCTGGGCGCACACGGCTCCCTCAAGCCTCCGCGCCGTCAAACCTGGCCCAGAACGGCCCAACACTGGCCAACACGGTGCTGAGACGGCGGCACTGCCCCCAGGTCCACTCCGAGACGGCCGAGGCGATCCCCCCCCCGCTCGCCGCCGATCAGGAGGAGGAGGAGGAGCACTCCGCACGAGCGCAAACTTCTGGAGGTCCGCGCGGAGTTCTCGGTTCGGCGCGGGCACCCCACCCTCCCTGGCGCGCGGAGCGGGCCAGCGGCGGCGCCCCAAGTGCCGTCGGGAGCTTCCCGCGCCGACCCAGGACATCCGCGCAGGCCCCCGAAAGCTCACGGCCAAACCGTATAAGAAGGACGCACGAGAAGGGTGCAGGGGCCTTGGAAGGCCATGTCGGCACTCTGCGGGCGGGGCGCGGCCAGCGAAAGCGGCCGAGGATGGGTCGAAGGAGAAGGATGCAAGGGGTTACCTTGAAGAGTTGCTCATCCTTACTATGCGGGTTGACTGTAGCCTGATATATCCAGAGAGGCACGTATTCACCACCCAGGGTCATAACTCGGCTCTCCGGCGGCCGCTCGCGATGATCTGGCCACGCCCGGACGCCACTTGGCGAGGCGCAGCCGCTGGAAGGCATCGCGAGGCAGGAAAGCCGATCCCCCTTTCTGACGCTGCCCGAGGCCAATTTTCCGCCCTGGTTCCATTGCTGGTGGCCCACGGGTCCCGACAGCGTGCCCGGGAGGGACCCAGACCGAGGAAGAAGCGCCGGTCGTCAAAAACCACCCGGTCGGAGATCTGGGCCGCCCCCCCGCCCTCCACCCGTCCACGCTGCCCCTGAGGGCCGGCGTCGCCTGGGCACCCGCGACATCGCCAGCGCGCCCTCCTCGGGCCGCGCCGCCGCCCCTTCGAGCGCGGGCGGCGCGCGGACGCTGTAGACGCTGCCGCGCCTGCCCAGGGGGGGGGGGAGGAGGATGAAGAGGACGGGGAGGAGGAGGAGGAGGAGGAGGAGGAGGAGGAGGAGGAGGAGGAGGAGGAGGAGGAGGAGGAGGATGAGGGTGGAGGAGGAGGAGGAGGAGCAGGAGGAATTCAAGCTCCACCTACCGAGGAGACCAAGTACTTAGCACTTTACCATGGCGACCACGACTACATGACGAACCACGTCCACGGCTAGGACGCGGAATACAGGACTTCGCAGAGTCCTAGTCAGAGATGACTTCAGAGTAGCAGTCAACCTCCATGGCCCAAGCACCCACGATAATAATGAACGACATTGCTAAGCACACCAAGCCCACAGCCTCACAATGGCTGTGCTCTTGCCACGAAGGCGACGACACAATGAAGTAAGATCAGGGCAGTACACATACACGACACGGCACGGCTGTTGCAGCAAACATGCAACCCAATGGACCTACCACGCAACGACCGCAACAACCTCACAATGTCACCAAGTTCTTACAACGGCGGCAGCTCCACTGAAGACATACCACAGCCAGCACAACAAATAGCTGTCATTGCGCAACAAAAAGCCACTACCATACCTGACCAGCAGTCGACAGGTGCAAACGCTCCCGCCACTCAGCAGACCAGCGATACCCGAGTGATCAGAAGTCCAATCCACCCACCTCCACCAACTCTCAGGATCCCAGTTATCTGTCCGCCTCCCAAGGCAGCACGGGCAACGATGGCTCACCGAGATACCAACGTCAGGGCTAGCACCACAAACGTTTGCCACCAAAGAAATGTTAAATATACGTCCGATCGAAAACGCCACCGATCCACCTCCAAGATGGACAAACTGGATCTACCCCAAAGCCAACATACACAGAGCACCTCGAAACGCACTACGCCGAACAATCAAAACTACTTGAGGTATCTGGAGGCACTAAGGCATCACCAGAAGCAGTACTAACGGCATTTGGCACATGCCAAGTAACCAAGAACCAAGACCAAGGAACCAAATAACCAAGACCAAGGAACCAAAGAAGCAAGGAACCAAGACAAAGGAACCCGAGGAAGGCAGCAAGGAACCAAGACCAATGAACCAAGGAACCTGGGGAAGGCCAGTGTGAGGAAGCAAGGCAAGAGAACCTGGGGAAAACCGCTGCAAAGAAGAACACGAAGGAACCCGAGCAACCCAGACCGGCGCACTCCAGGCTCCCACTGGTGATTCACAACACATTAGCAGCCCTCGAATCCGAACTGGGGAATCATTATTGATCCCCCTGTCAGATGGGGGTTCAAACCCTGCTGCTGTATAAATGAAAGATATTCCTGCTCAAACTGTGCACTTGGGCCCCTGGCTTCACAACAGCAGCGGCTCCTGCCTGAGACTTCCGGATAATTAATTATGGAATTGCGCTCCCGCTGGAGACGTCCTCGCTGCTTGGCATTGCTTTACGTTGCTTGGCAGCGCCCGGACCTGCTTGACAAAGGGACGCCACTGCAAAAACACGGACCCAAGTAACCCCGAGGAGCGCCAGGGTGAAGAAACAAGACCAAGCAGCCCCGAAAAGCGCCTCTGCAAGGCAATAAAACCAGAACGCAGAGCCATGGAAACCCAAATAATCCCAGCGCGACCGAGTCCAGCACCCACATGTTCTTCACCAATGAATGAAACCTCGTAGATAATGCCTCAATGGAGAAGTGTGTTGCTATTAATGTTGATGATGATGTTGTTGTTGCTGTTGTTGCTGTTGTTGTTGTTGTTGAACTTTCACTACTGACGAATAAAGACTGTTGACCCCCGCTCTGGCGACACGTGTTTTTTTCGACTGAAAGGTTCCCCCCAGGGCTCCCATCCTGTGTTTGTTTTCTCCCAGGAAAGTCACTAGGGTCAAACTTAATTATTGGCCCCCGAACTACAACAGCAACAATCATGTGAAGACTTTTCGTTCCTATCTGGTCGAGTGCCCGTTAACGCGTATTTTCCGAACCCTCGATGCCCGCCCTCTTCGTCTTCGACCGTACCCCTTTTGGGGGATCTGCCTTTCTTCCCTGCACGCCAGGCCCCGGCAAGCGGCGGGGCGGCAGCGGACCGTCGGCCTTGCCAGCGGCAGCGCTGATCGGCGGCAGTCCGACCCCAAGAAGGACGGACAGGGGACCGACCACGACGACGACGACGACGACGTCGGCGACGAGCGAAAGCGAGAACGAGAGAGAGAGAGAGAGAAAACGACAGCAGGGCCACGAAGGGCACGAAGTAGGCCACGAAGGGCGACAGTGGGGACACGAAGGGAATGCGTATTGGACCACGGAGAGCGCGAACGAGAGGGGGCCACGAAGGGCAGATATTGCGGGGCCACAGAAGGCAACGACGGGGCCACTGAGGGTAGCAACTGGGCCAGGTAGGACAGAGAGGGGACCACGAAGGGCGACAGCGGGGCCACGAAGGGCATGCTCATGGGGCCACGACGGGCGCGAACGAGCGGGGGCCACGAAGGGTAATGTATATTGGGCCGCGGAGGACAAGGACGGGGCCACTGAGGGCAGTAACGGGGACACGAAGGACAGCGAGGGGACAACGAAGGGTGACAGCGGGGACACGAAGGACATGCATATGGGGCCACGACGGGCGCGAACGAGCGGGGGCCACGAAGGGCATACATGTATGGGGCCACGAAGGGCAGCGAGGGGGCCAGGAAGGGCTGCAACGGGGCCACGAAGGGCAGCGATGAGGGCCACGAAGGGCAGCGAGGGGGCCACGAGGGGCTGCAACGGGGCCACGAAGGGCAGCGAGCGACAGCGGGGCCACGAAGGGCAGCGAAGGGGCCACGAAGGGCTGCAACGGGGCCACGAAGGGCAGCGAGGGGGCCACGACGGGCGACAGCGGGGCCACGAAGGGCAGCGAGGGGACCACGAAGGGCTGCAACGGGCCCACGAAGGGCAGCGAGGGGGCCTCGAAGGGCTGCAACGGGGCCACGAACGGCAGCGAGATCCCGATTCCTAAGTAATCTGTGAGGGAGTCCCAAGCGTGAGCGCGATTCCTGGGTGCCTGAGTGTCGGGAGCGCGGCGCTTGAGTAAACTGCGATGCGTTCCAACACAAGGGCGTTCTTCTTGAGTGAATTGCAAGCAAGTCTCCAGCGAGAGCGCGATTCCATAGCGCCGAGAAAGCGATTCCTGAATCAATTGTAAGGACGTCCCAAGCGAGAGCGCGATTCCTGAGTAAACCGCGAGGGGATCTCAGGCAGGAGCGGGTGTCCTGGCTAAATTGTGAAGATTTCTCAGACGGGAACAGTTGTTGTTGTAACCTGGGGGCCAACAACAAAGTTTGAGGAGTAAGACTTTCCTTGATAAGGAAAGCAGGGTGCGAGCGCCTGGAGGGGCACGTCAATTGCAACATACAATGTACAGCAGAAGGGGGATCAACAATAATTATTCTTCAGCAGTGAGACTTCAACGGCTCCCGCCTGATACCCTCTAACCAATTATTCCCCGATCGCGCTCTCGCGCGGGACTTCCTCACAATGTATTCAGGAATCGCGCTCTCGCGTGGGACGTTCTCGTAATTTATTCAGACGCAACGCTCTCGACATTCGGGAGTCACGCTCTCGCTGTGGGTTTCCTCACGATTGATTTGGCAATCGGTCTGTCACTCAAGACTTCCTCGCGATTCATGCAGGGCGCACGCTTGAACACCCCCCCTGCTCGACTTATCCGCCTGGGCACTCTTTTCCGACCCGCCCGGTATGGTCTACCCGCCCGATCTGCCCATCTGGTTCTGCCACGTGCTTTCTGGTCCTGGCCCGAGCTCCATCCTCCTACCTCCTCCTTGTCCTTCCTTCCATCCGTCCTCTCTTACCCTGCCTCAGGGACTGCGCGAAATACACATTGCAAGTAAGAAAGATAGACCCCCAAGGGGGCACGGTCGAGGACAAAGAGGGCGGGTCTCGAGGAAACGGGATACTCGTGTTGAGTGGCACGCGGGCAGATGAGAGCGAACAGTCTTACACAGGTTCAATGTTAATTGCTACACAATTATCATTGTTGGACCCCCCAGGCGCCCTGGCGCTCTCGCATCGGCGCCAGCTACAGTTTCATTGAAAATGAAGCTCACGCTCGAGCGGTTTGGGGGGCGCCAAAACCGCCCCCCCAACAACAACAACGCTCCCGCTCGAGACTTCCTTCTTTTTTGCCCAGAGCCGCTGCTCTTGCTCGCCGCCGAAAACAGCCGCCCAAACAAAACCAACGCTTCCGATAGAGTCCTTCCCGTTTTACCTTGGACTGGCGCGCTACTCGTTCTCCCGTCGGCGCCGCCCCGCTCCCGCTCGAGACTTCCTCCCATGTTACTCAGAGCCGGTGCTGTTGTTCGCCGCCGAAAACCGCCGCCCCAACAAAACCAGCGCTCCCGCCCGAGACTTCCTCCCGTTTTACGCTGGACTGGCGCCCAACTCCCTTTTGAATCGGCGTCGCCCCAGCAAGAACAACGCTCCCGCTCGAAACTTTCTCCCTTTTTCCTGAAGACGGTGCTGTTCCTCGCCGCCGACAGCCCGCGTCCTGATAAAACCGCGGCTCCCGCTCGAGACTTCTTCCATTCTTACTCAAGGCGGCTTTCTTCCTCGCCGCCGACAACCGCCGCACCAACAGAACCAGCGCTCCCACTCGAGATTTCGTGTTGTTTCACGCTTGACTAGCGCCCTACTTTCTGCGTTGGCGCCGCTCCCGGCAACAACAGCACCCCTGCTCGAGACTTCCTCCCTTTCTATTCAGGGCCAGGTCCTTCCCTCGCCGCCGACAGCCCCAATCCCCACCAAGCCAATCCTGTCGCTCGATACTTCCTTGTGCTTTACCCTTGGCTGGGGCTCCACTGGCGGTCCCGCATCGGCGCAGCAGGGCGCGGGCATGTGTCTCCGAGGCGGGATGTGTTGAAATTCATCGGAGGAGGTGTTTGCAAGACCTCATTGGGCGGGAGATCTGGGAGTGGGCATAACGCCCCCCCCGATAAAACAATAATCCTCCATGATGGGGACGGTTATCATGATGGTCGCATGCTGCGTGTGGAAGCATCGCGCATGAGGGTAACATGATTGTTGTTGTGTTTGTTGTTGTTGCTGTTGTTGGTGTTGTTATTGTTGTGTGTGTTGTTGCTGCTGTTGCTGTTGGTGATGTTGTTGCTGTTGCGGCTGTTGTTGCTGCTGATGTTGTTGTTGTTGATGTGTTCGGAAGACGGCACTTCCCGTCCGCAAGGCGCACGCTCCCAATCCCGCGCGCGCGCCCCTTCCCGCCTGGCGGCGGCACGCAGCCTCTCCGTCGTGAGGTACCTTTGGCGTGGGATGGGGGTTGGAGCACCGCCAGTAATTACCATGAGGCGTTCGGGATGTGGGAGGGAGGGGAGGAGGAGGAGGAGAAGGAGAAGGAGGAGGAGGAGGAGAAGGAGAAGGAGGAGGAGGAGGAGGAGGAGGAGGAGGGAGGGCAAGGGGAGTCGCAGGGGGAAGGAGACTCGACACTGCGTGTGGTCTCATTGCTTGACCTGCTGATCGCCAGGCGTCGGTCTCGACAACAGCTGAACCTGGCACACCCATTACACTTCCGAGCCGAAGCGAAGGGACGGGAGGGAGGAGGGCAAGGAGGAGGGAGAAGGAGGGATGAGGCGAGGATAAACCAAACGCCGAGAAAAGGTACCCTGGAGAGGGATATAGGGGAGGGCCCGGCGGACGGCACGAGGATCGAGCTTCGAGGATCGTGGATACGGGTGTTTGAATTTTGAATTACGTTCGCCCTTTTTGGCCCTCCGCGGGGCTTCGCAGGTCCGCCCCAAAACTCTGGCCAGAACGCGCTCCAGAACGGCTCTGGGGTGTGAATCCCGACCGCCCTCAAAACCATCGGCCGACCCACGCAAGTCGCGGCACTTTTTCCTCCACGTCCGGCCTTCGGCCATTCGCTGAAGGGTGGGGGTAAAGTGGGGGGTGGGGAAGCGCGCATGTTTCAACCACCTGTTGGGCCCGCGGTGGCAGTTTGGAAGCCATTTGGGGCGCGTTAGGGCAACTCCCCGATAGTCTTTGATCCTCCCTCGTCAACTGCTCCCCCTCTACTGATCGTCCAAGGCCTAGGGATGGATGCTTCCGCGCCGGGGGGTGCCAAACAGAACGTCCCCCCGATTCAAGATGAGCTTCTGTTCCCTTGGGAGAGGCCGAAAAGTCCACGCCCGGCAAACCTAAATTAGGACAGAAACATGAACCCCAATCTTCGAGCACATGTGCGTGCACGAAACCGGGAAGGACGGTGGAGATGGAAAGAACGGGAAGAGCAAGTCAACCACAGTAGAAACAGAAAACAACATGATCATGCGAATGGCCGCGATACTAAGAAGAAGACTACGAATAATAAACATAAGAAGAAGCAACTGCCTCGCGAGTCGTGAGCGTCTGGGCGCTCCGAGGAAAAACAACATCTTATAAGCGCGAAGGAAGCCCAGTGGCACGGAGGGGGAAGGGAAGGGGGGGGAGAAGGAATGGGCGGTTGAGACGCGCAGCAGCTCAGCCCAGAATCGCTGGCATCAGCCTCAATCCGGCGGCCCAGCCAACACTGCGAACAACCTGCGCCGCGCGTCGCGCCAATCCGCTTCGGCCCCGCCGGCCCGATCGCGGCGCGGGGAGCCAGCGAAGCGGCCCCAGCCATGGCAGGGCCGCGCCGCCAGCGCCTGCCAACGCGGTCCGCCGCGCCGCGCCGGAGGCAAGCGACCCGGCCTGGGCGATGCCACGTGCGGCGCCCAGGCGCCACCCCCGGCGCGATGCGCGGCCAGGGCCCCGCCAACCGCCTCGCTGCAGGCCCGCGACTCGCCGTCGGACCCCTCCTGCAAGCGTGCCCCTCCACCCGGCCCAGGCCAGCAGCGGATCGGCGGGATGCTCGCAAACACCGTCGCTCCAAGCCAGGGCTCGGGCCTGCCCGAGGAGGCAGACCGGCAGGCGCAACCATGCGCGCGTCCGAGGGCACCACTTCAGAGAGCGCGATCCCGGCGGACAGGCGCGCCAGCAGGGCGGCCTCGCTCAGGCCGCCAGCTCGCAGCTCGGCGCGGCGGACCTCGCCACGCCGAAAGCTCACACCGACGACCCCAGAAATCTGGACCCCTTCCCCGGGATGCCAGTAACAGCCCAAACACTCCATTCGCATTCGCAGAGTCATCACGACGAGAATAAAGTGCTTATTCCCCCAACCGCGTTTGCACCTAAGGCTTCTTACCTCTGTTCTCAAGAAATGGGCTGGTGTGTCGGTTTGGCGGATATGCTGTCGCCGTCGCCGCCCCGTCGCCAATTCGTCGCCGCCCATCGTCTGGGTCGGTATGGCGGTCTGGCGGCTATGATGTCGCCGTCGCCGCCTCGTCGCCGCCCTTCGTTTGGGCCAGTGTGGCGGTCTAGCGGCTATGTTGTCGCCTCAACTATGCTGTCGCCGTCGCCACACCGTCGCCGCCCTTAGATTGCACGATTTAGGTTGCACGCCATCGATCATCCGTTCTTAAAAAACCAAGATCTACCACCACCTCCCTCCTTGGAATTATTCGCTCGCTCTTTGTACTACAATTTATTTGATGTTCTGCCCCATCGCCATCCTAACAATTAATTCGTACTTCATACTGTCCCAACCCAATTGATATCGACCCCCCCCCTCCATCCTCTACAACAATGATATGTGCGCGCACTATTTTATGACAAGTCTTGAAGTTGCAAAACATCCCTTGCGAAAAAAAACTGGGCAAAGTGCACACACACACACGCGCGCGTCGTCGCGCGCATGCTGGAATATGTCAAACACTTTGGTTTTCGTAAGGATGTCAAAATCAAGTGTTCTGAAACATATAAGAACACATGGTGTTGCAACGTTCACTATCGAACGAAAAATCTGCGAGCGTTCTTGCGAATCCTTCAGAGAAAAGCCACCATAGCTTCTTCAACGCCCACATCACATTCGACCAAATGGGCCTCTTGCGCGCATGTCGAAATCATTTGAAGGCCCTTGCGCTCGTGCTGGAGTGGCACGATCCCTGTCAAATAGTACCATGCGGGCCACTCGGGAGCGTGGGCCGCGCGCGCATTTCGAAATCCATCCAGAACCTTCATCACTGACGCAAACACACGTTCATCATCATCATCTGCGTGATCCGCATCGGCGCCGTCACTGACCTTGCCGTGGTCATCGTAATCATCGCCACTACCATAGCTACTACCATCATCGTGTCTACTCTGTCGACGTCGCCATGATATCACGCCCAGGTCACCGACTTGCACTGAATGGCCCGCGCGTCAGCAAGGCCTGCGAGACGCGCTGGGAAATGCCCAGCGGTCAGCACAACCGCCGTCACGTCGGCGGCGCCGAACTAGCTGGCCGCTGCGCGGGCGAGCATGCGCGGGGTAGCGCGGCAGCAGACATGCACCAGACAGCACCAATCACCCATCGCAATCGCCACCGCATGGGTTTTGCAAACCAAGTTGCAGCTGGGTGGGTGGGATGATGGCGCGAGCAGTGGAGTTGACAACTCCACGTTTTTCAGAATCAACTGCATCACATGGATTGAGCCATGTGGGTTGCAAAACAAATATTGCACAACATAGATTGCAAACCTAGACTGGACCACATCGATTATACAATGTATAGTGTACAACATGGGGTTCACAACTTAGATTGCACCACGCATAGTGGACCACATGTATTGCTACACCTAGATTGCACGACACGGATTGCACCATATCGATTGCTCCGCATAGCTTACACAACATATATTGTGCCACATATAGTGCACATGTTGAACACAGATGTAGCATTACACAACATATAGTGTGCCACATTGTGCACGTAGAACTCCGCAACATATTTTGCTCCACAGTGTGCAGAACATATGTTGAACAGCATCGAATGCAAGCACATGTATACCTATATGTGTATACATATATATATATATATATATGTATCGCACCACGTATGTTGTACGACATATATATATATATAGAACCACAGAGGTGCGCAGCACCTATTGCTCTACATACATGTTTCAAGCCGTACTGCATCACGCAGGTTGGTTGTACCACACAGCTTCCACCACACACTCTGCGCAACGTAGACTGCATCACACCGATTGCTCCACATATACTGCACAACATAGATTGCGCCACATATATTGCAAAATACGGTTTGCACCACGCAGTTTGCACAACATCGATTGTGCCACATAGTGTGCACCTCATGAGTTGCACCACGTAGTTTGCACAACTTTCATTGCACAACGTAGGTTGCACAGCATAGACTGAACCACAGGTATTGCATCACACAGAGTGCACCACCCAACTTGCACAATCTATACTGAACCAGATGGGTTGTACTGCATAGGTCCACCACACATGCGGCACCACAGAGTGCACCACACATATTTCTACAAACACACTGCTTGGGGTCCACGCTGGCCGACATGCCGTTCCATCTTCCTCGGGAGACGAGGTGGGGAGGCGGAGGCGGAGGGAAAGGAGAACGGGCACGCCCCGCGCTCGGACACCGAAATCTGGAACTCCTGGGGCGTCCGGCGCGCACTGGGCAAGCAGGCTCTTCCCCCCTCAGCATGAAGGAAGAACGGGCCAAGCAAGCTCCTCGCCCCTGTCTGGGGGCCCCCCGAGGCCCTCACGCGGGCCCAGGGGCCCAGATCTCCGACAATCCCACCAGCCCTCAGGGCGTGAGTAGCTCAGGGCGCTTCCTCGTCCAACTCCCCTTCTTCCCCTTCGGGGAAAGGTTTGCGCCTCCCCCTCCCCCCTCCCCTGGACCTGGATGGGAGCGGGGGGTCGCGATGGCTCGCGTCGCTGGCGGATCTCTCGCGAGGCGACCCACAAAGACCCATCTCCGACAATACGACTTGCTCAATCGTCGGGTTTTCCTCGAGCTCGGCTCCAAGGCTCGTTGCCAGGCCCCGGGACCACCAACAACGGATCCGGGGCGCGAAGGGCTGGCCCCAGCCCAGGTGTCGGAACCTCCGCAGACCAGACCCCCGACGTCATGTCTTTGTCATGACGTCGAGCCCCAGAGGTCTCGACCCCTTCTTGGCGGCGCGCAGAAAGGAGGGTATGGACGAGGGGGGAAGGCTTCTCAGAAGGAGGCTGCTTCTTAGAAGGCGCCAGCTATACATCTACAGTTAAGTCGGGCCTGTCCCTCTACAGGAGGGAAAGTCACAAATAGTCAAAAATCGTCTGGGGACGAACATATAACTATTTCTGAATATTCTTGTAATCTTTTTTCAGTATTTCTTATGTTTCCCCAAAATCCCCCTGTAGGGGGACAGGCCCGACCTAAATCTACAGACAAGGGCCTCGCCATCTGAGAGGCAAGGGTGCTTCTAAGGAACCTCCCCCCCTCCACGTGTCTTGGGCGCCCGAATTATCCGGGGTAACTCGGGTCCGGGGTAACTCGGGTTTGGATTCCCGGAAAAGGAACCCGAGTTAGCCCTGACCCGAGTTATCCCTGATGATTCGGGGCTCTGGACGCCCGAGTTATCCGGGGTAACTCGGGTCCGGGGTAACTCGGGTTTGGATTCCCGAAAAAGGAACCCGAGTTAGCCCTGACCCGAGTTACCCCTGATGATTCGGGGCTCTGAGGAACCTCCCCCCCTCCACGTGTCCCCTGTGCGCGTGACCGACCTTCCCCAGGGCCGGCGTTCCATCCCGGGCGGTTTTTTTTCACGGCCCCAGGGCCCGCTCGGGGACCCAGGGGCCGAGAGGAGCGAGCATAGACGAGCGCGTTCCGCTGCTCGCGAAGTAACTACTCGCAAATGACCTGGATCCCCCGCGGGAGATCGACGATACATTACATCACAGCGGACGTGTGTTTGGTCGAACGTTTGCGAGTAGGCACTTTGCGAAACGCGCTCGGTGAGGGGCAGCACTCCCCTCGTGATCTCTGTCGCGACTCGCGGGGGGTGCGCCTGGGGCCCCGCACCGAAGGATCCGGTCGCGGATGGCTGGGGGGCCGTGGCCGCTCGGGGCGAGGGGCAGGCCGCGGGGGGCAGGCCCCTGGGGGCCTGGGGCCCGCTTCCCTCGGGGGCCCTCCCGCTCGAGGGGCACCGTCAGGAGGGGAGGGGGGGGGGCACAGCGAGCTCGAAGAGGAGGTACGTCGCCGACAGATCGGCGATCGGCCCCCGACAGCGAGCCCGCTTGCTCCCGGGCGGGGTGGGGCTGTAGGGCCCCTATCAGTGATGCATGGGCGAGTGGGGGGGCGACGCGTCCCCTCTTCCCTGAGCCTGTCCCTCCTCCCAGACGCTGCCCCTGAAAAGCCAGCAAAATTAGCATGCGGTCGGGCGAGTCCCCCAAACATTTCAAAAATGATTCAAAAAATCATCCCCAGACTATTTGTTTATAACATGTTTTGAAATTCCTCCTGTAGAGGGACAGGCCCGACTTAAAATTAGCATGTGGGAAGCGGGTCCTGAGGGGAAACGGGTCCTGGACCCCTGGGCCTTCCCCCCGCACGAGGTTTTTTCACTCCGAGTCGTCCTCTGGCAGTCCCAGGGCCCGTGGAGGGCCCCAGGAGCCCGGGAAGAGCGAAAAACCTCAGGACCCGTTTTCCCAACGCCTAGGAGGCAAACGAACCGACCTCGCTTTTGACCACCCTCGCTTCCAAAAGGCACCCGACGATACCAAACAACGGCCGGCACCAGTCAGGCCCCTCGACGAGGCACGGTATGACTTGGTCTTGCCTGGAAGCGACAGCGGGGTCAGGCAACTCACGCTCCTAATGGCGACAGGCGCCGGCGAGGCCCAAGGGAGGGGGAGGGGGGGGGGGCTGTCGGCAGGCGGGCTCGCGAGCGCCGCGCCGCGCCTCGACGGCCGACAGCGCCGGAAGGCGGCAGGCCGCGAGAGCGGCGGCCGCAGGGGGCACGCGGCACCGGGACGACACGTCAGGCTTTGTGAGCTACGGCCGGACCGAGGACAGGAGAGCACCCTTCAAGAACATGGGACCTTCCGCCCGCCGAGCCGAAGATTACTCGAGGGCACCCTCCCAACAGGCACGAAGAACATCAGGGTACCCTCCTCGAACCGACCTCGGTCTTATACGTCGGTCCGATCGTAGCCCTACCTCCTCCCATCCTCCGGGCCCGGATAAACTCGGGTCGGGGTAAATCGAATTTCTGAAATCAGGCGGCTCTGGAGGATGTCTCGGTCGCCGCGGCCTTCTAAGAGCGTTCTGGAGCGCTCCGGAAGCGTTCTAGAACGCTCTGGAACGGATTTATCCTCTTTCTAGCCCCGTCCGATTCTTCATCCTCTCCCTCTCTCCTTTCCCTTGGCGCGCAGGGCGTGTGCGCGAAAGCGCGCCGCCAGCGCGTCTGGATTCCTCGCGACTGCACTGGTGCAATCTGGCCGATGATCTGGGTTTGCCAGGCACTTGACCTCGCGGATGCTCGCTCTCTTGCACTTCAGAGCCCCACGAGCAGAAAACATGTCCGACCAGGGCTTTGGCGCACCAAACAGAACTCCAGCCGTAGGTCGAAACATCCCCCGTTGTTTCTTTGCTTCGATACCCTTATTTCCAGGGCCCTGAACACTGGGGGTTCGACAGGCCAGAAATTATAAAGCTGTCTGCGGCGCCCCCCACAAATGTGTTGGCGAACGCCGAAGGCCAACCATCTTTTGACCGGGCCTGTTTGCAACTGTTTCTTCAGCCCCCGCCTGTTCATCCTCCTGCTTCTGCTTCCTTTGCAAATTGGTTCTGCCAAGTCCTGCCCACAGGAGGGGAAAGGGGGGAAGTGGAACAACAACGTGCAAACACTAATGCAATGGTGTCGCCGCTGATTGTGCTTCTATTGCAACGTTTACCATTGGAAAATGATCTGTCAAAACGAACTCAACGCCCCGTGAATTTGAGTGTGCGGCAATTTCCTGTGAAGCAGGCGTGGTCCCTCCAAGAGCTGCCACTGCGTGAGCTATTCGACGTCGACCGACCCCCTCTGCCGGAAACTCAAACACCCGTCGGAGGGCAATCTATCCTGAGCGACCGCGCCCGCGCTTCCACTGGGGCCGACGAGGCACGGAACGAGCGCAACTCCAAATCGGCCCCCAAACCTTCACTTTTGTGGAACGAAGGCGTCCATGGCGACGAAAGCCCTCACAAGCTGCCCCACAACGGCAACATAACACGGGAGCGTGTTTGGAAACATTTGAAGTGCATATTTGGGATATGTCCATATCCGCCGCCCGCGGAACCGACGTCCTGGAGATCCAGGGGGCGGCGGATGAGGATATGCCCTTAGGCCCAGGAGGCCACATTCATCCATGTCCGCCGCTTGCCGGGGTCTCCGAAGATCGGCCCCCGGGCATTATGTTTGTATGTGATTTCTGGTGACGGTTTTTGCTCAGGGGGAAAGGGGGGGCAGGGGCCTGGGGTAATGATAACGCTTGGGCGGTGTAGGGCACGCGTCCAGGCGGGGATGCGCTGCGATCGTCATGATATGCGCGCGAACACCAGCATGGGGGGTGGGGGTCCATCCCCCGTCCTCCACGCACGATCGCTTCCATGACTCAGAAGGGGGGAGGAAGGGGTGGGCTGAGGTATCGGCCGCTACGCACCCGAAGGTAAAACACACAAGATCGCACTCGGTGGTTATGGAAAAAGAAAAGAGACCAACCCGAAGACCCCTGGGCTCCTCCACGCTGTCGTCCGGCGGGTCCAGCTCCAGCAGGTGGCCCGGCGGCAGCTCGCCCTCGCAGGCGCCATGGGGTGGCAAGAGCGTCGCACGCTGGGCTTGTAGTATTTTCCCAACACGTTGATGATATGCTTGATGATATGGGCTCTTTCTGGCCATGTTGATAGGCAACATGTGACCATGATCGTCTCGTACTGTTCTCCTTCATCTTCTTCCTGTAGTACTCTCATGCTCACGTCATCTTCAGTGTAGGCGGTGTATCTCTCAATGCCATGGCTAAATGAAAATGATGGTGTCCGTTAAGCTTAAGCTAGCAACGCGATAAGTAGGGGCCGGCCAGCCGGGAAAAGGCGCCCGGGAGGGCGAGCGCGCAGGGCGGGCGGGCCGCTATCCTTGTTTTCTCGAGCAAACCCGCAAGAGCTGCGACGAAACTGCGGGTCAGAAGGGGGCGCGGAGGGATGACTGAATCACGCCCCCCCGCGCCCGGCCCGGCGAGCTCCGCTCGCGCGGGCGGGCGAACCTGATTTAGGCATCGCCCCGAATGTGTGACATAAACGTCTTGGCACGGTAGGCTCATTTCATCAGAAATCTTGCTATGAGGATTTCCTGGGCGCGCTCTTCGTCGATCTTCGAGGGTCCAGAGGTAGGTGCCCCCGAGCTTCCAGTGGTCCCTGGGGCATTCGGGGGATCATGAATTTCCTTCGGGCACCTGATGGCAAGCCGATTTCTTATGTGATGTGCCCATGTACTCGTATTGAGGGAAATAGAAATACCCTCGTATCAAATCGAGCATGGCAAGAGTTTCGTCCCCCCCATTGTTGACTATTGCCATATCCCCTCACCGACGCCTGCTTAGCGACACACAACAAAGCCGATATACGCCAACAGCGCCCCCCGACTCTTTGGAACCAACGCACCTCTTGATTTCTTGCAGATGGCGACTGTGTCAGCGGCATGCTGGAATCCAGGCTGGAAGGCGGAGAGGAGAGAGCACGCGGGGGGGCGGCAGGCCTCCGATACTCCACCTAAGCCGCACACCGGGACGACGCAATACGAGTCGTCTCGCCTCCCTGCCCGTGGACGCCTGCTCTTCGGCATCGCCAGTGTCATGCAACCAGGGGAGCGGTGTGCACACTGTCGCCCCCTGCGCTCTGACAAACTCTATCGGCCCACTACCACTCGAATGTCCGATGCGCCCCGCAACACTTTGCGAATGAAGCGGTCGCGACGGCGCAGGTGAGGACAAAGAACGCGGGACTGGTGGCAATGTTGATGTGGTTGGCGATAAAGTGCGAAAGACGAAATGCACATACTTTGTATGCGATATTTGACGCAACGAACTACGCGCGCGTAATCTGCATGCGCATGTCTACGATCAATGTCATGCGGGGGGCGAACAAGGTACCCAAACGCGCTTACGCGCGTCATCCAAGCAATCACGCAAGCGTGTGAGTCCTCTGTATGTAAGCGTTCAGGGATGGACGCCAGGGCGACGACGCATTCACGCTCGAAGTGTATGTCAGGAACGCGTGCATCCACGTTGCCAGGAACAGGCTCGCCAGAAATACCCCAACACCAAGCATGCTGACTGACATGTCGCCGCGCCGTGTGTTCTGAAAGCGCCCAAATCGACAAAGTCGGCACCGCGACAAAGCCAGCGGCGAGGCTTCCGTCCGAGGCGGAGTTTGCCCTGGTGGCCGAGGCGCCCTCCCGAGGACGGCAGGCCGCGCGTCGGAACAAGCGGCGCGGAGACATGCTGGGAGAAACCCCCACAGGCTCATGTTGCTCCCATCGTACTTAAAGGACCACATCCCGTAAATGATTTCGAGCACCTGGAAAAGTGTCGAACGAGTGTCAAAACAGTGTCGGACGAGTGTTTCCCCGGGCCCGACAAGTGAAAACCCTCGAGTTTCGGTACTTGTTTGGTGATCGGAACTCGATCTGGTGATCAAGGCTAAGATAGGTTAGAACATCATAACTGACTACCTACCAGACCATCCCAACTCAACCCGAAGATCAGAATTTGACCCGAATTTCGGGTTGGGGGGGTACGGGTTCCATGCGTTTTTTCAATGTTCCCCGACCCCCCCCCCACTGGAAATCGAGGATAAAGTTGGGCCTTCGGGTTGGGTTGGGGTGGTGTGGTGGGAGGTGAATCACCACAGGCCCCCACGGCGCTCCCGGGAGGACCCCAAGGAAGCCCCCGAGAGGGGCACACCGTCGGCGACCTGGGCCCGCCGAGGGAGAGATGCCAACCCCTCGAACCCCCTCGCGGGAAGGGCCCTCTTGATGGGAGGCCCCGGATCGGCCTCGCGCGCCGCGCCCTGCGCGTCGCGCGAGGCGCGGACACCTCCGGGCTCTCCAGCGCTGCCCCCACCCCTGAGAGGGGGGAGGACAGTGCCCAGGCACAGCGCGCACGAGTCGCAGGGCCCGGCTGCAGGGAGGCCGGAGCTGCTCTGCTTCGGGCGATCCCCACCCGAGAAGACGAGGCGGTACACCCAGGGAGCGCTGGGCCCCCGAGGGCCAGGCGGTCGCGGTGTGCAGTCGCCCTTCGTCGGAGACGCGAGGCGGGACACCGAGGGAGTGGGACCCTTGCGGCCAGGCGGTCGCGGTGTGCAGGGTGTGCGAGGCGGGCCGGGAGGTCTCCCGCTGAATCTAAAACACACAAACCTTCCGGGAAGGGAAAAAGTGTACGTTTGAAATCTAACGAAAGTGGAAAAGGCCCAGGCTGAACAAAACTGACAGGGGCCGCGACGGGCTCGAAACAGCTGGGATGGGATCGCCAGGGCTAGAGAGATCAGAAGACAGCTCGCCGCTTGGTCCCCACCGCTGCCAGCCCGAACGGCGAGCACACATTGGGCGTAGCCCCGCACGCATTTGGATGCCCACGCTTCGTCCTCGCACTACTCGCGGGCCCCCAGCACGGTGAGTGCGTTGCCGGCGTCCTGGTCGTACCAGGGGCACACGTAGGTTGCGCCCTCGGCCGCCGAGAATAAAACCGTCTCTTATCGGTTGCGCCATAGGTTGCGCCCTCGGCCGCCGAGAAGAAAACCTTCTCCTATTGGTTGTGCCATAAGTTGCACCCTCGGCCACCAATTGTAAAACCGTACCCGACCGGTTGCGCCATAAGTTGAGCCCTCTGGGGCCGAGCATAAAACCGTCTCCTATCGGTTGCGCCATAGGTTGTGCCCGAAACCGTCTCCGATCGGTTGCGCCATAGGTTGCGCCCTCGGCCGCCGAGAATAAAACCGTATCCTATCGGCTGCGCCATAGATTGCGCCCTCGGCCGCCAATGATAACACCGTCTCCTATCGGTTGCTCCATAGGTTTCGCCCTCGGCCGCCAATAGTAAAACCGTGTCCTACCGGTTGCGCCATAAGCTGGGTCCTCTGCGGCCGAGAATAAAACCGTCTCCTCTTCGTTGCGCCACAGGTTGCGCCCTCGGCAGCCGAGAGCAAACCCGTCTCCTATCGGTTGCGCCATAGGCTGCGCCCTCGGCCACTGATAATAAAATCGTCTCCTCTTGGTTGCGCCATTGGTTGCGCCCACGGCCGCCGAGAATCAAACCGTCTCCTATCGGTTGCGCCATAGGTTGCGCCCTCAGCCGCCGAAAATAAAACCGTCTCCTATCGGCTGCGCACTAGGTTGCGCCCTCGGCCGCCAATAGTAAAACCGCCTCCTATCAGTTGCTTCATAGGTTGCGCCCTCGGCCGTCGAGAATAAAAGCGTCTCTTATCGGTTGCGCCCTCGGCCGCCGAGAATAAAACCGTCTCCTCTTGGTTGCGCCATAGGGTGCGCCCTGTGCCGCCGAGAATAGAACCGTCGCGTAGCGAGTGTGACCAGTCAGTTCAGTTCAGTTCAGCTCATTCAGTTTACTTCAGCCCAGCCCAGTCCAGTCCAGTGTACCTCGCGCGAAACAAATTCGGGCTACGCCCGAAAACAAGAGGGGAGCTGGCCGGAGCCGGGAACGAGAGTTCTTCGTGCCCCGCGTGGACGACCTGGGCATGGGTGCGGCAAGTCCGTGGTCGCGACGACGTCGACGTTGGATGCCGACACCGCGCGGCGGTTCGCTCCACCCCGAAAGACCGCGGCGTTCGGACAGCGCGGGAGCGCTCGGTGTCGGCCGGAAGTCTGGGCCGCGGGCCGCGCCGAGCCTCGAGAACGCCCGCCGCCGGGGAGTCGCCACCGCCCGCGGCACGCCCCGAGGGGGAGGCCGAGGGTAAAGGGGCCCAGGGACACTCAAGTGAACAGATACAAATCCCAGGATTCTCCATATGTCACCATATGTTCTGGGTTTTCGTCTCCCCCCAGTTTCCCCTATTTTCCCACACGTGTCTGGGGATCGACGAGCACTCGTGTCTGAGTGGTTTTCCCCCCCCCGAGGGCGGCGGGCCTCTTCAGAAGGCTCAGAGGGCCTCTGGCCCTCTGGGAAGCTCTCTAAGCCTTCCGCGAAGCCACAGAGGGGGGCTTCTCTTGGCGGCGCGCACAGCAGGGTAGGGGCAGGGGGAGGGGGAAGGCGTTCTGGAAGAAGGCTGCTTCTTAGAAGGCGCCGGCCCTGCATCTACAGAGAAGGCCCGCGCCTTCTACGAAGCAGGGGTGCTTTGGGCGCCCGAGTTATCCGGGGTAACTCGGGTCCGGGGTAACTCGGGTTTGGATTCCCGAAAAACGAACCCGAGTTAGCCCTGACCCGAGTTACCCCTGATGATTCGGGGCTCTGGACGCCCGAGTTGTCCGGGGTAACTCGGGTCCGGGATAACTCGGGTTTGGATTCCCGAAAAACGAACCCGAGTTATCCCTGACCCGAGTTACCCCTGATGATTCGGGGCTCTGGGTGCTTCTCAGAAGCCTTCCCCCCTCCCCCTGCTTCCCCTGTGCGCGTGGCCGCTTCTCAAAGAGGCCGGAGGGCTTCTGCGGAGCCCCGCCGCCTGCCGAGAAAACCCGCACCATCACGCTTCCCCCCTCGGCGCGCCGCCACCCCTTCGGCGCGGCGCGAATCTGCTGTAGCACTGTCCCGGTGCGGTTCGGTGTGGGCTCTCTGCGCCCGACTCGCCGCTGCGCGCCCGCCGCCCTCCCGCAAAACGCCTGTACGCGCGCACGTACAGGGGCTGCGCGGTCTCGTTGATGAGGCAGAATGACAGCCTGGGCGGCTGGGCCGACTGGGCTCTGTTGGCGGCGCGAGGAAGAGAGGGGTCGAGGGGGACGGGCCCTCCAAGAAGTTTCTTCTGGGCGCGGAGAGAACATCAGCCACCGCGCGTGCAGCGGTTGGTGTGTGTGTGTGTGTGTGCCCGTGATCGCCGGGAGGTTTGCCGAACGGGCTCCAAGTAGCCAGTAGATCGGCGATTGGCCCCCGATACCGAAACCGCCCGACAGCACGTTCCCTGGCCAGACAGACCATCAACCCCCCCTCGGAGATGGATGGGCGCCGGGGGGTCGATGCGTTCCGCCCGAGCAGACGTATCCAGTGCTAGCGTTGCCCCTGAGATCCGCCACAGCTGGGGGCCCCAAGGCGGTGCGGTGACCCTGAAATCCCAGAAAACGACCCCACCGCAAGGTCAGCTATTGGACGGTGTTGGGTCGCCCGAGACGCCGTCGGAGGACGGTCCCAACACCGCGCGGCCGCCCCGAATCTCCGCTGACTTACCGTCGGGCAGTGGCCGCGCCGCTTTTGACGGCGCGCCCAGGGGGGAGGCGATGTGATAGGGGGCGGGCCTTCCCAGAAGGCTCAAAAGTCCCAAGGCCTTCTCAGAAGTGTTCGAAGCCTCCCCCGAAGTCGCAGGAAACCTTCCAGAAGGCCGGAACGCTTCTAAGAAGTTTTCTTAAGCCCGGACAAAACACCTGGGCGACACACCCCGAGGGGAGATGCCCAAGGTGCCTGCATGAATTCAAATGCAGTCGGACCTCGCAGCACGAATGGCAGCACACGAACGCCCCAAGTGTCACATCTGTGCCGCCATTGCGAGGTGCCTCGAAATGCCACCCCGAAACATGACCCTCCGCCTTCTGTCCTTCTCACTTCCCCCCGTCGTTCGCAGCCGAACTTTGGAGCTCGAGCCCACCGTCTCGGCGATCTCTTGGGAGAAGTGCCGAAACCGATGAGCCCCCAAAGGCAGAAGCGGACCACGGCTCCTCTGGTCGTGGCTGGTCTGCGAAGATAAAAGGAACAGCACCAGTGCATAAACGTAAGCCGTCGGAGGGCTTCGCGGCTTTCGGACAGTTCATACGTTGTTGCGACGCTTTTGTTGTCTTCGAGAGGGGCAGGGGGAGGACGAGGAACCGGGCCGAAGTTGGAGGATGCAAACATAACCTTGCAAAATCGTTCACCCTTACTATGCTGGTCGACTGTATTTGGCCCTGCGTTCTGCAATATGTGGTGTCCTCTGGCTTTCGCCGGACCGTTCATAAGTGAACAACAATTCTAAGGGGAGCTTGGCGGTGGCCAGGTCGACAAGTCACCGTCGGCGTGCAATACAAAATCTCGGAGATCCGCGCGGATGTTGTGGATCGGCGCTGGACCCCTCTGCCTGGCGCGCGAAAGGCGCCTTGGGGCGGGGCAGGAGGCGCCGCCACCGGGCCCACCACCGCCAACCCAAGAAATCTGCGGGAAACTCAGCCAGTTGTGTTTTTGCAACTCTCTCTATCTGGATGATTAGCAATGCAAAGGCCCATGATCCTTTGGGGGGTGACCGAAGTTAGGAGGGCCACAAACTTTAGGGACTGGGGGTCTTCTTTGCAGATGGCTCGGACGAAGCCACCCACATGCGTAAGGATAGTCCTTTAATCCGAGGACCTGCGCCACGACAGCATTGCGACACTAGGCTTAAGGATTGTCTTATGTTTAATGTGGAGACCCGAAGTTTTGAGGCGTGCTCCGCCGTGTCTGGACGCCTTGCGCGGCATGCGACTGTTGCTGACCGCGCGCGCTCGCCAGGGGCGCGCCAAACTTTGCCGTCTTCGTCTCCTCCTCCTCGTCTTCCTTTTCCTCCTCCTCGTCCTCCTCCTCTTCCTCCTCCTCATCCTCCTCCTCCTCCTCCTCCTCCTCCTTCTCCTCCTCCTCCTCCTCTTGGCGGCGAGCACAACGTGTTAGAGGGAGGGGGGAAGGCGTTTTAGAAGGCTGCTTCTTAAAAACAGATCCGATAAAGCCCGCGTGTTCCCCTTTTCCCCTGCCCTTTTCGCGCGGCAAATCCTGCTGCTCATTTTTGTTCCGCCAGTTGTCGCCGCCGGGCTCGATATGGATGGGCCCAATATTCGCCTGGCGAAAGACCCAAACTTACGCAACTGTGAATGCCGCAGCCGTGATGCCCATCTTCGGTGGAGCGCCTTATGGGGGCACGAAACGTGCGATGGGTGTGCCAAAGTGGGATGGCGGCGGCACGCGGGCGCTGCCACTGGGGCCTTCGGTGGAACCTCTTATAGGGCCTTCGGCGAGGATCCTTCTGTCCGTGATCGGTTCGATGGGGGGGCACGAGGAAAGCCAGTCCGTCCAAGATGGCCCTTCCCTTCTTTTTCTCCTTGTTGGCCCGCGCACTCCACAGTCCACCGCTGCGGGCGCAGCCGGTCGTCCCGAAGGGGTCCCAGGGATGCGCGCGGGTCGTCCGCTGCGCGGAGCAAAGAGAGCTAACTGGCTGGCAGATGGCAGGCAAAGCTCCAGCCGCTGGGAAAGGGACACGACGGGCGAGCGAGGCACTGGGCAGAGCGCACCACGGAGTCCCCGCGACGCGCGCTGGTCGCCCCGACAGGATTCCAGCAACGTGCGCGGGTTGCCCGCGGCGCGAGGCCAAACTGGTGGATAATCGAGAGAAGACGCTGCTCGGGCGGGCTAACTCCTCAAGTCAAGCCTCACGGATAAACACGGTGAGGCCTCGTTCCCTGGCGAGGGCCGTCGCATCCCTCCTGCACCGCTCCGTGCGTGCCGCAAACTGCAATGCTTCCGCAAGCCCTCCTGCGGCCGGGCGCCTTCAACACAACTCCCGACAGGGCCACGAGCCGTGTGAAGGGTGTGCCGAAATAAGCATGCGGCGGGCGGGGTGGGTGCACGCGGACGCTGCCTCTGAGACCTTCGGTAGAGCTCCCCATGGGACCACCAACCGTGTGAGGGGTGCACCTAAACTAACATGCGGTGGGCGGGGTGGGCGCACGCAGACGCTGCCACTGGGACCTTCGGTGGAGCTCCCTATGGGGTTACGAACCGTGTGAGGGGTGTGCTGAAATAGGCACGTGGTGGCGGGGTGGGCGCATGCGGGCGCTGCCTCTGGGGCCTTCGGTGAAGCCCCCTATGGGGCCACGAACCGTGTGAGGGGTGTGCAAACATCGGCATGCGGTGGCGGGGCGGGCGCATGCGGACGCTGCCTCTGGGGCCTTCGGAGGAGCTCCTTATGGGGCCACAAACCGTGTGAGAGGTGTGCCGAAATTGGCATGCGGTGGGCGGTGGGCGCATGCGGGCGTTGCTTCTGGGGCCTTCGGTGGAGCTCACTATGGGGCCACGAACCGTGCGAAGGGCGTGCCAGAATGTGCATTCGGTGGGCGGGGTGTGCGCATGTGGACGCTGCCACGGGGGCTTTCGGTGGACCTCCCTATGGAACCAAACCGTGTGATGGTTGTGCCGAAATGGGCATGCGAGAGTGCAGATGCACGCATGGAAGAAGGGGTGTTGTCTCTTCGAAGCGAGGACCCAACACCATAGGATGGTTGGGAACAAGTGTCCAGACCCCACGCGGGGTCATCATCGTCATCGTCGTCGTTGTCGTGGTAGTGGCCGTCGTCGTGATCGTCGTGGTCGTCGTCGTCGTCGTCGTCGTCGTGGTTTCCCCTGGTGCGGCGGGGGGGCCCCAAAGGCCGCGCGCTGGCCTCCGCAGGGCCGCCTCCCGCCTGCTCCGCCTGGGCGGCGGGGCGGGGCTCCGCGGTCAGCACGCGGCGGAGGATCGGTCGCAGCAGCGCTGGGCCCGAGACGGTCGTCGTCGTCGCCGCTGCCGCCGTCGCCGTGCGTCGCTCGGCGTTCCTCGTTCGTCGCCTCGTGGGTCGTAAGTCGTCGTCGTGGTCGCCCTCCCCCTCCTTCCTCCTGTTCCATCTCCTCCTGGGGGGCGCCCGGGCCTCGTGCGATATAGACATGTGTATATATGTATGTATGTATGTATGTATGTATGTACGTACGTACGTACGTACGTACGTACGTACGTACGTATGCATACATATATATTTATTTATTGATATATATATATATATAGATATATATATGTATCGGAGGTGGGCGGGTGAGATCACAGTGAAGCGGAGACCCACCACCGGGAAATCGGTTTTGGTTTCGTGTTCGTGTCGTGCGTGCGGGCGAGGCGAAGCTGCTCGTGATCCTCCTGTAGCTAAGCCGAAGTAGGAGCGACAATTTTTCCACTCCGCCGGTGGCTGGGAAGTATCCCAAGTGGGCCAGGCGGTGTCCCGGATGTCCCTGGTGGCGAAGGTCCGTTTCCCGTCCGCCGGTGGCCGGGAGGTGTCCCAGTTGGGCCGGGCGGTGTTCCGGGTGACCTGGGCGTCCCGGCGCTAACGCATGTCGCTAATGTCATATTTTTTGGGTTTTCGGCGCCTGCGGCGGGCTTTCCTTTCCAATCCAGCTTATCTTATCCAATCCACATTGTCCAACACAATCCATGGTATCGTATCCAACCCATCCTGTCCCATCTTATATTATCCCACCCAATCCAAACCACCCAACCCAATCCACACATTCATTTGTTTCTGCGCCTGCGGCGGGCCAATCCAATCCAGCCTATCTGATCCAATCCATTTCTTCCAGTCCAACCCATCCTGTATTATCCAATCCATCTTATCCCATTCATTCCAGTTCACCCAACCCAATTCATCAAGTCATTTTTGCCGGCGCCTGCGGCAGGCTTTCTTATCCAATCCAGCTTATCTTATCAAATCCATATTGTCCAATTCAATCAGTCTTATCTTATTCAACCCCTTATTGTCCCATCTTATATTATCCCACCTAATTCAATCCATCCAACCCAATCCATAAATTCCTGTGTTTCTGCGCCTGCGGCGGGCCAATCCAATCCAGCCGATCTGATCCAATCCATCTCTTCAACCCAACCCATCTTATGCTATCCAATCCATCTTATCCCGTCCAATCCAATCCAGCCAACCCAATCCATCAACTTATGTTTGTCGGCACTTGGGCGCGATTGCGGCAGACTGCGAGGCTCGAGCGTTCGGCGCCCTTGCCCTGCATGTCGCTAACGCATGCGAAGTCGTGGTTGTTTTGTGATTGTCCTGATGGTTGTCTGGTGGTTGTACCGATGGTTGTCCTGTGGTTGTCCGACACCAAATCGTGTTTCGGCGCTTGCGGCGGGCTGTCTCATTTTGCTTTTGAGGTCGATAGAACGATCGAGAGAGAGATTCACCGATAGGTCGGTCGACGGATGGGTAGATAGTGGGATACCAACGTCATCGCGATCATCATTGTGGTGGAGGGAGACCCTGATAGAGAGCGAGAGAGAGAGAGGAAACAAAATTAGCCTGACGAAAGACCAAACCATACGTAATTGTGAATACCGCAATTGTGGATATATTCTTCGGTGGCGCCCCCGGGCCACGAAACGAGTGAGGGGTGTGCCGAAATGGGGGGGTGGAACCGCATGCGAGCGCAGCCACTGGGGCGCTCGGTGGAGCTCCCTATGGAGCCACGAAACGTGTGAGAGGTGTGCCAGAATGAGGGGTGGAACCGCATGCGGGCGCAGCCACTGGGGCCTTCGGTGGAGCTCCCTATGGGGCCACGAAACGTGTGAGGGGTGTGCCAGAATGGGGGGTGGAACCGCATGCGGGCGCAGCCACTGGGGCCTTCGGTGGAGCTCCCTACCGCAGAAAACCGTGGCGCAGCCAGGGGTGGGCCTTCGGTGGAACCGCATGCGGGCGCAGCCACTGGGGCCTTCGGTGGAGCTCCCTATGGGGCCACGAAACGTGTGAGGGGTGTGCCAGAATGGGGGGTGGAACCGCATGCGGGCGCAGCCACTGGGGCCTTCGGTGGAGCTCCCTATGGGGCCACGAAACGTGTGAGGGGTGTGCCAGAATGGGGGGTGGAACCGCATGCGGGCGCAGCCACTGGGGCCTTCGGTGGAGCTCCCTATGGGGCCACGAAACGTGTGAGGGGTGTGCCAGAATGGGGGGTGGAACCGCATGCGGGCGCAGCCACTGGGGCCTTCGGTGGAGCTCCCTATGGGGCCACGAAACGTGTGAGGGGTGTGCCAGAATGGGGGGTGGAACCGCATGCGGGCGCAGCCACTGGGGCCTTCGGTGGAGCTCCCTATGGGGCCACGAAACGTGTGAGGGGTGTGCCAGAATGGGGGGTGGAACCGCATGCGGGCGCAGCCACTGGGGCCTTCGGTGGAGCTCCCTATGGGGCCACGAAACGTGTGAGGGGTGTGCCAGAATGGGGGGTGGAACCGCATGCGGGCGCAGCCACTGGGGCCTTCGGTGGAGCTCCCTATGGGGCCACGAAACGTGTGAGGGGTGTGCCAGAATGGGGGGTGGAACCGCATGCGGGCGCAGCCACTGGGGCCTTCGGTGGAGCTCCCTATGGGGCCACGAAACGTGTGAGGGGTGTGCCAGAATGGGGGGTGGAACCGCATGCGGGCGCAGCCACTGGGGCCTTCGGTGGAGCTCCCTATGGGGCCACGAAACTGCCCACGCAAGGGCCTTCGTGGGGCCACCGTGTGGGGTGTGCCAGAATGGGGGGTGGAACCGCATGCGGGCGCAGCCACTGGGGCCTTCGGTGGAGCTCCCTATGGGGCCACGAAACGTGTGAGGGGTGTGCCGTGCATGAGGGGCCTTCGGTGGAGCTCCCTATGCCAGAATGGGGGGTGGAACCGCATGCGGGCGCAGCCACTGGGGCCTTCGGTGGAGCTCCCTATGGGGCCACGAAACGTGTGAGGGGTGTGCCAGAATGGGGGGTGGAACCGCATGCGGGCGCAGCCACTGGGGCCTTCGGTGGAGCTCCCTATGGGGCCACGAAACGTGTGAGGGGTGTGCCAGAATGGGGGGTGGAACCGCATGCGGGCGCAGCCACTGGGGCCTTCGGTGGAGCTCCCTATGGGGCCACGAAACGTGTGAGGGGTGTGCCAGAATGGGGGGTGGAACCGCATGCGGGCGCAGCCACTGGGGCCTTCGGTGGAGCTCCCTATGGGGCCACGAAGCGTGTGAGGGGTGTGCCAAAATGGGTGTGGGAGGGGGAGGAGGGAGGGGGCAGCGGGAGGAAGGAGACGCGGGGCACCGTCTCTTCAAAACGAGGACCCAACACCACAGGATGGTTGGGAAAAAGAGAAGAGCGAGAGAGAGAGAGAGAGAGAGAGAGAACGAGAGAGAGAGAGAGACAGAGAGAAACTGTGATATGATATCAAGGTGACAGGCTGGAGGTCAATCAGGGTGGGCATTTGATATCAGTCCCCCCCCAACCTCCTTATCCCCCGCAGGGCGGTCGTCGGAGGTTGGGAAGTGAGATCGAAATGGAATGGAGAGCCCCCCATACTGGGAAATCGATTTCGGTTTCGTGTTCGTGCGTGCCGTGCGCGCGGGCGAGGCGAAGATGCGCGGGCGGGCGAAAGGAAAGTCTCCTGTGGCTGAGGCGCGAACGGACCAAATGATTGGCGACCCGGCGTTCGGGGCCGCGCGGTGTCCCGCCGATGTCCCGCCGGTGTCCCGTCGGTGTCCCCTCGGTGTCCTGCGGTGTCCCGTCGGTGTCCCGTCGCGGGATCGATAGTGAGATCAATGGCGAGATCGATAGTGCGATCGATAGTGATATCGATAGTTCGATCGATTGTGAGATCGACTGTGAGATCGATTGTGAGATCGACTGCGAGATCGATAGTGAGATCGATACTGATTTCGATTGTGAGATTGATCGAGTGAGATCGATCGAGCGAGATCGATAGTGCGACCGATCGAGTGCGACGATGCCCCACCCCCCCCCTCACCTCCTTATCGCCCGCCGTTGAGCAATATTTCGAAACGATTTAGGCCGCGGCGACGAGCGGGGCCCCAGGAAGCTTCAAACAAAAAAACCGCCGTCGTCGTTCGCCGCTGTTGGGCAGTTTCCCAGGGGAAGGGGATGGTACCAAGGCGCCCAATAGCAAAGGGTGACGTAAACAACTCGACACCCAAGCTCCCAAGAGCGAGCGGTAACGCAACAATATCCACTGGCATCGTCAGAGCAACAATCACCGCTGCCATCCCCCCCAAACCTCGCTGGGGGGCAACAGTGGGTAACAGTGGTGACTGTTATTCTGACGATGCCTGCGGTGCGCAGTCTAGTGAGCAGGCATGCCGGTATTGCTTGGGCAAATGGCTGCGGTCCGACGGCGGCAACGGCGGCACAACATACAACGCGTCATGGCGATGTGCCATTCGATTTGCATTTGTTTACATATCGATGTGCATGTCGATTTGCTTTTCGATCTGCATCTGGATTTGCATGTCGACTTGCATTGGGAAGCTAGCCGCAGGAGCCGTGCTTTTAATGCGCAACCCACGGCGCCTTGCGATTTGCATGTGCGTGCGCATGCCGATTTGCATTTCGATGTGCATTTCGGTTTGCGCGTCGGTTTGCCTGTAGACTTGCATTGGATAGCTCGCCGCAGCCGCGGCGGAATACCAGTGGGGCACTAGCAGGGCACCGCGGGGCACCGTTTGACGGGAGGGGAATCATTTGGTCTGGCCGCGGCCCGGCCACAGGAGGATTTCGGGGCGCTAACGGGGCACCGGCGGGTCACGGCGGGCCACCAGCCGCCGGATGAGAATCATTTGGTCCGGCCGCGGCCCAACCGCAACAGGATTTCGGGGCGCCAGCAAGGCGCCGGCTGGACACCGCGGGCCGCCGGCCGCCGGGGGGGGATAATCGAGGGTGCGCCGCTGGTTCTCCCCAGGGGGGGGGGGGGCCCTTCCCCGATCCGTCGTTGGCCCCCCCCCCATCCTCCTTTCCTGATCCGTCGTCGGACCCCCCCCCCTTTCCTCCCTTCCCGATCCGTCGTCGGGGACCCCCCCGCCCGCCGTCCCCCCTTTCGCAAGAAGGGGGGTCCGGGGGCCCCCCCCCCCCTGTGGCCGCCAAATCCCCCCCCCCCCCCCCTTTCGCCGCAGCGCACCCGGGCTCCGGAACCCGACCCCTGCCGCCCCTAACGCTAATCCTCGCCGTTACCGGAACCCCCAACCCTCACCCCGAACCCTATCCCTAGCCCCAAACAATACTACTCATTACGCATGACGCACTACCCACTACTCACTACTCGCTACTCACTTCTCACTACTCACTACTCACTACACTCGATTCGCTACTCACTACCCACTACTCACGACCGACTACCCACTACTCACTACTCCCTACTCCCTACTCCCTACTCACTCCCCGCTACTCACTATCCACTACTCAATACTCACTACTCACTACACACACCTCACTACCCACTGCGCACTAATCACAAATCACTATTCACTACCCAGCAACCACTATCCACTACTCACTGCTCACACTTCATCACTCACAACTCACTGCCCACACTCACTACCCACTACCCACAACTCGCTACTCCCTACTCACTACACAGTACTCACTACTCACTACTCACTACTCCCTACACCCTACTCGCTACCCAATACGCACCACACGCTACACACTACTCACTAAGCACTACGCTCCCACTACTCATTGTTCACTACTCGCCACTCACTAGTCGCATACTACTCACTACTCACTACCCAATACTCAATACTCACTACTCACTAAACACGACGCACTGCCCACAACTCACTACTCACTAAGCACTACTCACAATCCGATAACCACTCTCCACTACGGAGTACTCACAATTCACTACCCCCTACGCACTGCCCACAACTCACTACTCACTATCCGCTGCTCGCTGCTCGCTACCCCCTACTCCCCACACAGTACTCGCTGCTCACTGCTGACTACTCCCTACTCGCTACTCACTACTCGCTACTCACTAGTCACAAGTCATAACTCGCTACGCTCCTCACTACTCACTGTTCAATACTCACTACTCACTACTTTCGACCCACTACCCACTACGCACACTACTCACTCCTCACTACTCGCTATTCCCGTACTCGCTACTCACTACTGACTACTCCCTCCCTTCTACTCACTACTCATAGTGCCCTATTGGCGACTCACTATTCACTACTCACTACTCCCTACTCTCTACTCACTACTCGTCCTCCTCCTCCTCCTCCTGCCCCTCCTCCTCCTTCTCCCCCTCCTGCTCCTCCTCGCACGTGGGCGCGCAACCGAGGTTCGCTCGCCGAGACGGCGGATGGGACAGCCGGGCAGAGAGGGGGCGCACAGAATGAGGCACATCAGGTGAATGAAACGAGGACAGGACCACAAATAGGCGAGATGGTCGAGCGCGGGATCGAGCTGGCAGGGGGCGCAGCCCGAAAGGCAGCATCGCCCCTTCTGAAATCGACGGTGCGCGGGCCATCCGTTGATTAGTAACTTGAGGACATAGCTGGCGTGAGCGCGCTTGGCACGAGACATGACCCGGCGAACTCTCCCCCGCGGCCACGCTCGGATCTGGGTCTTCGCTTGCGGGGGCCAACGGGCGAAGCGAGCCGTGGACGTCAAAATCAGAGTCGGGAAAACGGGTTTCGAGCATGGCCGCGCGGGGGCGGCCTTGGACTTTCACGCGGGGAGGAGCGGGGGAGGGGAGAGAGGGCGCGGCAGTGGCAGCAGCAGCAGAGGAGACCAACCGAGGCAGGCGAAGAAGTGACCGGGCCTTGTCCGAGGGGTCGCGGGAAATTGTCGCGAGCCGCTTCTAGGAATTCAGCGAATGAGCTCTGCTTCCAAAACGGGGGGGGGGGGGCAGTTTGCCCATCGAGATCTGGACAACAGGGAGGTGTGCTTCGGCAGCTTCTCTGAGGAGATTGACCATGGGCCCCCAGCTGTCGACAGTGGAACGACTAGCACGCATGAGACAAGAAGAGGTAGAGGGGAGGAGGCTCGGGAAACGGGGGCCATTCCAGCGCCACAGGCCAAAATGGACAGCTGAAGGGATAGCGCAGCGGGAGATGCGCCAGAGTCTCGCAAGAAGGGCAGGCTCATGCGAAATCAAGTGAGCAGGGGCGGGTAGAAATTGAGCGACATAAGATAGCACCGAGACGCACCTCGAGGAATGGTTCAGAGAGCACGCCGTTGATGGGGAACCCTGCGAGGCCAGAAGGTGGGCCCGATATCTGTACTTCTGAATGAGCGGGGCCCAACTATTAAGCATGGCATCTGGTCCTAGACGAAGGCCAAGGTACACAAGACTTCCCGCGATCTCAACCGAGCACCACTCAGGAATGCGCGCCTGGATCCAGGAGCGGCACTGGTCGGCGAGAGCAGGGGGGAACTCGGCAGCGAGAGGTGCGAGCTTGCACTTGCTTATCTTTAAAATGAGGGAGGCGACTCTCGCTGCGACCATGAAAATCCGAAACAGCACTTTGAGCACCTCGATGCGAGCGATAGCTGCCCCGACGTCGTCGGCGCAGGCTCTGATGATCCCGCGGCCCCTGAGACTGACGCTGCGATCGAAGTCCTGCGCGAATGGGTCCGCGCACAGCGCGAACGGGAAGCCCGAGCCAGGGCAACCCTGGATGATGCCACTCTGGACAAAGTACAGCAGCGTGGGCTTCGTCATCGTCGCGGAGAAGCATTGCACGCAGCGGTGCAGTTCCGCGAAGAACCATCGGATGGAAGAGGGTAGCTGCATGTGTCGGAGAACAAGGTCCACTCAGGGGCCACACTCGGGAAGGCCTGCTGAAAATCGAAGCTGCGCAAAGATGGCATGGCTAGCGATGCATTCTGCTGCGTGGAACAGATTCGCGAGGCCGCATCTAGCTCTATGATGTTATTGCCAAAACTCCTGGAGGAGATGAAGCCTCTCTGCAGGGAGTTCGTGATCAGCGGGAGGTGGCGGGAGAGCTTCCGAAAGAAGATCCCTGTCACTCTTTTGTTTTCAATATTTGTGAGGCCACATGGGCGTGAGATGGCGGGGGCCCTGATGCAGCCACTCGGCGCGCCCTCGTCTTCGGAGCCTTTCGGAATAAATATCCCCGAGAGACCGTTGAACCCGACCGGCATCGGCCGTTCATCGAAGATCCACCACTTCACATCATGTAATATTTCAACTGAAAGCCGAGACTTCTGGAAAGCTCTGCACGGGGGGCCGTCGGGGCCGGGGGCAGAGTGGGGCCGACGATCAAGGCGCCGCTGCACGTCACTGAGGCGGGGCCTCAGAGATGTCGACGGGCGGGCGAAAGCGGGGGGGTCGCATGTTCGCGGCGGTCGCATCTACGGACTTCGGCAGGAAGACCTGGCCGCAGTGCGTGGCAATCTGTTCAGGCGTGGCCTGCGGGGGAGACGCAGCTGCATTGTCTCCGGCTCGCACCCCAGCAAGCGCCGTTCGTCTGTCAAATGGCGCCCATAACTTGGCGCGGCGATGCAAGTGACGCAGCCGCCCCCTTAAATTCGCCTCGACTGCGCCAAGCGAAGGAAGTCGAGATGCTGCGCCCAGCGCAGATCGGACAGAGCTCAGGCGGCCTCGCGCGTCGGCGACTTGCAACTCGTCCAGTGCGAAAGAGAAACGTGCAGGACCCCGAAGAGCAACTCTATCATTTTCTCGAACCTCAATATGTTCTCTAGCAAGTGGGCAACGAAGAAGACGCGAAGCTAACCTGCGATCTTGACGCCAGACAGCCCGAGACATAGCACGCACGAGGATCAGCTTGGAGGCGAGGCTATCCGGACCCTTGCCGAGAAGGGCATTCCTAGCGCACCGGGCGCCTTCGCGAAGCACCATCTTGTAGAGGGCGAGCTTCTGGGGCGGTGAACGGCTTGAAGTATCTATGGAGGCCCAGTTGGAGTCCACATGCAATCTGGAAGTCTGGGTGGTCGAAGAGGTGCTTGGGGGTCGTGTGGAGCTCAAGGTCAATTGGGGGTCTCCCGCGGAGGATGGCAACCACAGGGACATGATCAGATAGTTTACGCTGTTCAGGAGCCCCAGGGAGGTCCCGAACTTCAGATGAAAGATGGAGGCTGGTAAGGATCTACCCTGGCCACGAAACGGAGATGCGGTCGATCGCGGAGGTGCGTCGGCGACGGCCGTCGTAGTGAGTGCGATCCATCGGGTCGAGCTCCACGAGCTTGCCAAACGTCTGCTGCCAGGGCGAGCGGAGGAGCCGCCTCCACTCGGGAATCGCAGGGCCATCTCCCGCTGCGCTCTCGCCGGGCACTTCGGGGCGAGGGGGGTCGCGCGAGATGTTGAAATCGCCTGCGAGCACCGCGGGGATGTGCTCAGGGTCGGGCCCTGCGTGCCGCATGTCTAATTGTAGCTGAGTGTGTATGCGGCGTGTCTCATCTGCGGCAAGTCCATGATTACGGATGTTGTAGTGCATGACGTATCTGGGATGATCAGCAGCAGAGTCCCCTTCGGATGCAGCAGAGCGAGTACCTGGCGAGATAAAGGTGCGAAGAGCGAGCCCGCGAACCAGAGCCGAAGAGGCCGCCGAGGCCCCGGCGCCAGGGGACCTGGAAAGCTTCGGGATGAGCGTGATCATTCCGCCCTTGTTGAGCACCGAGAAGAAACTGGTTTCGGCCTGGAACCCCGAGGAGAACACGCGGAGGAAATCGGAGACATCATGGTCACTGCCGCGGGCTTCCTTGATGGCGATGATTCGAAATCCTCGAGCGAGATTTTGAAGGTACTGCTGTTTCGTGGACCGCGCCGTGGGATCACGATGAAAAAGAGCTCGAGCATTCCACGTGGCGAAGCCGAGCTCTGGAAGGGCACGCCCGCTAGTCAGTGAGAACCAGCTGCTAAAACGCACCGCTGAGCGGGGGCAGCAGGCGCAGGGCCGGCTGCGGATATCGACGCGACGATCCGCTCCTCGACCTCGGGACGGCCTGCAGGCCCTGCCCTTCCCACTCGACGCAAGGGGGGTCGGACTGACGAGGCGCGATGCGCATGAGCTGCTTCCAGTCGGCGCTGATGATGCCCGAGGATCTGTCGGCGAACATCTTGACATTGGAGGCGAACGAAGAGAAAATAATGCGGGCCTTCTCGGCGGCGAGCTCGCGACGGATCTGGAACATATTGTTGTCCTTGGACACGTGCAAGTAAGTGAGGTCGCCCGTGGGCACGCGGGCTTGGAGACGTCGAAATTCACCTGCTGGGAGGCGCATGGAGCCCAAAGCTTGAGAGACAAGGCGGGGGGCCCAACCTGCGGCCCCCTTGATGCGAACAATAAATCTGTTCGCAGCAACCTCCCCATCGAGCGTCCGCGCGTTGCCCTCGAAATTGGCGTCGGTAAGCCAAGGGTCATCAGGGCCGCCAAAACCCATCAGCCATCATTGGGCCCGTGCATTCTGGTCATCAGGGTGACTGATTTGAGTCAGACCAGCAACTGAGTGCCCAATCTGCGAATGATATATGTGCACCCAAGCAGATATGTGCTCCCGCGCCCGCAACGCCGGGGAACATCGACAGGAATACGTATAGAGCGCAACTCAAGGATGCGAGGAGAATCTGACGGGTGAAACAGTTGTGCGGCTTGAAACATGGCGGGGCCTCCGCGCCGTGTTTATGTGCCGCGTTGAACTGCCGCGCCAGATGCAAGAGAGATACCTCAACATATACGCGTGGGAAACGCTCCCAAGCTTTTCAATACAACACTGGGGATATGATGCAAATCGCACAACTCATATGATACAATTCACAAAACCAATGTTTAATTATGCTGTAGACCGTTGATCTCGACCCCGCCCTTCTCCTTGAAGTCCAGATAACCAGATTCGGTGAAGCCGCGGCGGAATACGTCGCGCGGCGGCGCGCAATGCACCAATTTAGCGGAGAGGCCCCCGTGCTTGTTGTCGGTGCCCATGACGTTCTGGGGGGAAGGCGTTGTGGTTTTAACCTCCCCCCCCATCCCCCCCCCCTCCCCCCCTCCTTCCCCTCCTCCCCCCCCCTTCCTCCCCCTCCCCCCCGTCCTTCCCTCCTTCCCCTCCCCCTCCTCCTCCTCCTCCTCCTCCTCCTCCGCCTCCTCTTCCTCCCCCCTCGTCGTCCCCCCCCTCCTCGTCCTCCTCCTGCTGCTGCTCTCCCCCTGCTGCGCATCCAGGTGCCTGCGCCTGGAAATCGGGCTTCGATGTTGCCCTAAGGGGCGCTTACTTTTTGCGCGCACTGCAGGCAATATTTGTCGCGCCGCCCCCCGCGACGAACATGGGGAACTTCGCGTGCCTGGCGGCCGCCTCCTCCGCCATCGCCTCACTGCGGTCTGGGGGGGGGCCCTCGATCGCGGGCGCGCAACGCTGCTCCTTGGGCGGCCCGGCCAAGCCGTCTAAGATCATGCTACTGGCGCCGCTGCGGTTGCGAAGGGGCGGCTGGGCGTTTGACTTTAACTCATATTCATCAATAACTTCCTTCGTGGCTTCTTCCTCCCCGTCGGACCTGGTCCTCTTGAGCTCGCGGTTGTGCTCTGCCACTTTGTCCACGGCCAACTGATGCATTCTGGATGCTTTCTTCGCCAACCCCTTGGGGCTTTAAGCGCGTAAGATTCTTCCTCCCCCCCCAACCCCCCTCTCCCAGAGCCCTCCGAACCTGGATTTGAAAGGGGGGGGGGCGGGAACTATCATCACCATTATCATCACCATCATCATCACCATCATCATCGTCATAATCATCATCGTCATCATTGTCTGTATCATCATCACCATCATCATCATCACCATCATGGTCGTCATCATCATCACCGTCGTGGGCCACCGCTAAACCCTAAACCCCAACCCTGGTAACCACCTGGTTGGCCCTGATGACCAGAATGCACGGGTCGGTCTTCCTCTGGAAATTGTTCGCCGTGTTGGGAGGCGGGGGAGGGTCATCCGTCTGCACGATGTTGAGGGCTCGCTTGAGCGATTGTATCTCTTGGGCCATGATGTCGAGCCGCAGCAGGTGGTTCGCCTGAGATGCTTCGATGTTGCAAATGTTGGGAAGGCGCTGCGCGACTTGCCGGCCGAGGCCGTCGCAATGGGCGCTGACGGACTGCTGGAGCTTGGCCATGGACTTCTGCATGACAGACATGGCGGCCATGATGTCGGAGTTCTGCTGTGAGAGGTACTGCCGCAGGTCGCTATCAGCACCAGGAGGAGGAACCACCTCTTGAGAAGCGAACGTGGAGAAAACCTCGATCCCATCTATGAGAGACGCGGAGTCTTGCCCTCGCCCTGATCCACCTTTGCCTTTGCCTGACGGGGCGCCAGGCAAGTCCTGAGAGCGAGAGCGATCCCTGCCTGAGCGAGCATCAGCAGGGGGCATGGGGGACAAGACAGATGAAGGGAAATGTCCGCCAGCCTTTGACAGCTGGATGGCTCGATCAGGGTCGGCGGCGCCGGCCGTCAGGCCTCTCCAATCTCACCCTCCCTTTGAAGGGAGGGAGGGGGGGGGGGTGCGGGTTCGGACCCCCCCCCCCTTTTCAATTACAGGGTGGTCCAGTGGCGCGCTTTCGGAATCATTTGGTCCGGCCGCGGCCCAACCACAGGAGGATTTCCTCTCGCCCGCCCACGCAGCTTCGCCTCGCCCGCACGCACGCACGCACGGCACGCACGACACGAACCCGAAACCGAAATCGACTTCCCGGTAGGGGAGGTCTCCGTTTCACGTCGGACCCACCCCCCCAAACTCCGATACATAGACATATACACATACACATACACATACAT